ACAGATGTTTACTCATGAATCGTTTAAAAAATAAATAATATGATAATTTTTAATCTAATTAAATTATAATAAATTATAAGATGAGAACATTTCCACTAAACATCATTTATTTTTCTTTAAATTCATTTGTGTAACTAAACAATTCATTATAAAAATGTATAACTCTAAACAGGTACTGCGATTGGTGTGACAAAAAAAAATTATAAGAAAAATTTCCACTTTCGTAAACCCATAAACTAGTGAGATTTTTCGTTCTTGTTTTCTTTTGTTTTTTCATCCGAGGAGGAAATATGTTTCTTTTCTTTTTTGGTTAGTAACATTTAGAACAGAATACATTTCCAACATTGTATTCTAGATTCTATACAAAAAACATTGTATTCTACATTCCATTTTTTAATCTGATAAGATCATCTCTTGCTTGATTGTGAAATGAGAGGGAGAGGAGAGGGAGAGGGAGAATGGTAGGTGAATGCAACTTGTTGGATCAGTAGTATCAAATATAAAAGATGTATACATAGAGATGGCAATTATGGATCTGGACCGCGGGCCTAGCCCGTAAAGAACTGTCGCGGGACGGTATTGGGACGAGGTTTTCTGGGCCCGCAAATTTGCCGGCTTTGCGGGATGGGTCTTTGCGGGACTGGGTCTTTTGCGGGATGGGCCGAAACGAGTCCCGCGGGATTACAAGGACCCGCATTTTTTTTCTTTATTTTTTGTTTTACCTGGAAAAAACGAGAGAATGAGTGAGAAGAGGACAATTCATGTGACTTCCTTTGAGAAAACGTAAGGAGCTCGGGCGATGATGATGATTTGAGCTTCGGTGATAATGATTCGAGCTCCGGTGATGACGACTACAGCTCCAGCAATGACGATTTGAGCTTTAGTACTGTTTTGATTTGGTTTCTTATTTATTTAATTTGGGATTTTGACAGTTTTAATTTAGTGTTTCATTTTATTTAATTTTTGGATTCAGCAAACTAAAACATTGGTTATGAACTTATGAGTTATAAGATAATGAAAAATATTTTCTGCAATTATTTTTACTTTTTGTGTTAATATGTTTTAGGTGTGATAAAAATAATTACAATTATTGTTTTGAATCAACAAACAAATAAATCAATGATTGATGAAATATGTTCAGTTGAATCTACGACTTGAACTATGTCTTAAAATGGTCTAAAGCGTTTCGGAGGGGTCTGAATCGTTCAACTGCGCATATTATCACATGTCCCGCGGTATGACCCGCGAAGGTCTACAAAAAATACGGTATAGGATTGGGCCACTGTTTTCAAGACCGTATCCCGTGTGGGATAGGCCCACCGCGTCCCGCTAGAAGACAAATCCGCAGCGGTCCGGGATGGGACGGGACAGGAGAGCCCAATTGCCATCTCTATGTATACAGTTTCCTTTTAATAAAATAACTAAGTCAGTTCACAAACAAAATAACTAAGTCTAATTTATTTTTTTGTTATTATCATGAACATTCCCAAAACTCTATTCCCTCTGTTCCGAAAGTTGTACATTTAAAATTTCCACACATTAAAAACATATTAATTTTTATGATCAATGCATATTTTTATAATTAACTATTTTCCATAATGTTTAACTTATAAATCTCAATAAACATAATTATTGTTTTTGAATTTTACAACTTGTAGTTAAGTAATGTATTTACAAATATTAAAAATGTATTTTTGACATATTTTTTCTCATTCATTGAATCTTAATTTTCGCAATAGATAATTTTACGCAATTCTGTTTATCTCGACAAAGTTTTTTTTGCAACAAACAGCAATGCATCCACAATCAATTTGAGATAACGGACCATCAATTATATCATTTTAGAGCCCTTTGTCAATTTTTAAAAATTTCATTTTAGTTTAAGCACAATTTACAAATAGTTACATAAAAGGAGGAAGCTGTGGGCTGACTATTGAGAAGGAAGTAGGCTTCGAAAGAGCATTACGGGCCCATGCACGTGTTTACGTTGAGTTGTTTTAGCTGCGTTGACGCATGCTATATGATTCCCTTGTTCTAAAACTTGGTCGCCTAGTCGATTTAGCGGTCGAGAAATCGCTGAACGGTGCTCAACTGTGGCGAGTTGAGGTGATTCAGTTGTGTACATGTGAAAATCTTAATTTTTTGGGGTTTAAAAGACGAAATAAAGTGTTTTTTAGATCAACTACAAATCGTGAACAAAAACAAGTAAAAGAAGTAAACAATTGTGAAAAAACACTGAAACGCAAAATCTAGATTTGAAGATCGACAATGGCTGTTGAAGAAGACATGGCTTTTTTTGTAATTTCACGGACATTAATGATTAAAGTGTGAAAAATACTAATATAACCACAAAGGATTTCGAACCCGTGACCTATTGGAGATTAACGAAGCCATTGAACCACTAAGCTAAGCGATAATCTCCGATTACTCAACGATTAATTTTCGATTTTGTCATTAGGCGCTAGGCGCCGGTCGAGCGTACACGTAGCGCCTAGAGAATTTCAAAACAAAGCATAATTCTAAATCATAATTTCTTGTTTTTTTTCTCATTTAATTTATCATTTATTGACTATCAAAGCTAAGATATATATCATCAACGAATTCTATCATTTAACTACAAGACGATGGTTTAGGCTTGACTCGCCGCTACGACCCTTCAAAAACAAGACATGTTTCAATATTTTGTATTAGGTTTTGTTTAGGGTCTGAATGAAATGAAGGATTAGGACATGAGAAATGCAGAATAAATTGTGATGAAGAAGGAACTATATTTTTTTTTTCATTCACAAATTAAAATGCAGAACTAAAATAATTAATAATTTATTCATATACTGCATATAAATCATTTATGTGTTGTTGTTTTGTACCGCAGGGTAAAAGAGGGGAGGAGGGACTAGGATGCGATAGGCAGATGGCCAATAGCTGTGTAGCTTTTTTATTCAAATGCATGTGTAATTTTCTAGTTTACCATCTATAACTAATACAATACTTTATTTATTGTGATTGAGTTAAAATTTTCACTTATTCTCTAAACATATTATAGTACACACATTCTTTTTCATATTTTATTTTATAGTTTCATACATACAGTACTTTATTTTTTGTTTAATTGTTTTTTGATATTTTTTAAAATTGATTCATATATACACATCAGTTAAAAAAATTCAAAAATTAAGATACTCTTTTAATTATTTTCTTCAGTGAATTATTAAATATCAAACATTTTTTTGTTCTCACATATACATGTATGCATTTTTATATTTTAAAATTTTAAATAAAGATTTTGTCAGATACAATAACATAGATTAAAATCGACAATACTAGTTCTTTAGTTGAACAAAATTATAATAAAAAGCCAAAAATTAAATTAATATAAGAGTAAAACAAAAGTACTTTTTTATAATTTTTATTCATGGTGAATTTTCATATAATTTAATATTTCACTATATTTATTAAAACAATGATATTTTTATTATTTTCCGAACATAATATTTATTACTTATTTAGAATAAGTTGTATTTTGTTTAGAAATTTAATTTTAATTAAAATATTTAACATTTATTTAAATATAATAATTTATTAAATTAGTTTGATCTGCATTTGTTCTCTTTGATATGTATTATTCGAAACCTTAGTTTAAATAAAAAAATTAATCAAACCATTCTAACAAAGAAAAGAATTAGTCAAACAATCATTTCCTTCTGATGGAATTATGTTTGATTAAAAATCAAAAAACATGATCATTGTTTCTTACCTTTTTAGTTAAACGTTAAGAGATATGTTCTTATATTCCGTTAAGAACTTCACCTAAAAATTCTCATTAAACATGGTCTAATGCATGTATTAACGTTGAATTACCTTTTTGACCTTTTTCAGAGAGTATTAATGAAAGTCTTGAGAGTTCACCATATTTTTGGCTTCATGCTCCTATGTCTCATCCGTGAAACATGAGATTCAACTCGTGGTAAAATTCAATTTAACGCTATAATGATAAATTGTTATCAAAAGATATTAGCCAAGTCAACAACACTTTTGTTCTACTTAGAGCATGTTTATTGGGGTTGCTTAATTGGATTACTTACGGATTTTTTAAATATTAACCCCACAAAATAGTTAAGCAACATTGTTTAAATTGCTTATTTAAGTAACCCATTTTAACTATTGCTTACACTGTTCGCGGACCTCACCGATATGTGGCGATCCGCAATTGGTTCATTATTAATTTTTTTAAAATAAAAAAGAAATAGAAAATTAATTAACCCATTTTAGAGTCTTTCCAATAAACATGCTTTTATTGTTTTACCGGTTGCTCTCATTTTCTAAGCTGGTGGACATATCAAACCATTCAACTTTGAAAGTCCATATATAATGTATAATCAAATGTGGACTAAACTGCCGTTCTATGTGTTTGTGAATGATAAATTGTTATCGAAAGATATTATAAATGTTTTGAAGTTTAAAAAGGGCCAAAATAATTGAAGCTTAAATGATGCTGAATATAAATGGAAATTAGGGTTGGAGCGTGGGGTATGTTATGCATATGTCATGTGCATCCATGTGCTCTGTCTTTCTCTCTTAACCCCTACACTCTCATTTCCTCTATTAATACTCCACTTCATCAATCTGAATCTATCTCCCTCTCTCTCTCAGTCCTTGCTCGCTAGGGTTCGAGCTACTTTGATATTTAGAAACAGAAACAAACGTAAGGTACGCATTTATTGATTTACATTAACTTCACGTTGTTTTTTTCAATCATATTTCCTTTTTGAGCTTCTTTTCATAATCAAAAGTGTATCAAATATTCAAATGAATTTTTACGACGAAGCTAGGAGCAAATATATTTATCCTTTAAAATTAATGTGGATGAATATATATATCACCGAGTACGTATAATATGCTCTTGCATAAAGTCTATAATTTTGTTTTCTGATCTATCGTTATGTTTTAGTTTATTATATATATATACATGTATGTAATCCCTTTGTGTTTATTTTACTAGGATGAACACGTACAACATGGTTAAACAAGATTTTATCAAGAAATGGATAATTACTCTACACATGTTAGATTCTTTTGTTGGACATCCCACGAACGTACACGATAAGAAAGACATGATAAGGCTATCATCAGACATAGCAATTGCAGTTGCAAGAAGCGGCTCAACATTATGGAGCCGTGTTCTCATCTCTAAGACCAGAAACAAGACAGTACCTGTGGCTCGTCGAATACTCAAGATAGCTCGAAATCGGGTAAGGAGTCGTTGTACTACTATTGGACGAAATGCCAACTTTACTACGAAAATCAGAGTGAGAAAAGGTACGGAGTTGCTCAAGAGGCTAGTACCGGGAGGCGAGTTAATAGACGAAAAAGATGAGTTGATAAGAGAAACACTTGATTATATTGTTTATCTCCGAGCGCAAGTTGACGTTATGCGAACCGTTGCAGCCGTCCATCCAGTCACCAGAGACTTGAACGAATGCCCATAGGAACAAATAAATGTGCATGCATTTCAAACTCTTGTGAATATGACGTAGCTATGATTAATGTACATATTTATTATATTATGATAACCCTATCGTATTATATAACAACTTTCGAAGTGAAGTACCACTTGGTTGAGTATATGGGGTTTCAAAAAAGCTTTGGAGGCCACTTTATAATTTTACTATGTGGTATGCGCACTGATAAGTTACTAATTAATTAGGTCATACAGTTAGCTTGACCCGAGACGTGTGCTGTATGTGCGGTTACCAAATAAACTTTTTGTATATACATATGTCATTCGGACGTAGGTTATAAATTCAGAGATTAAATTATATCAATTTCAACTGTAATTGATTGGCGAGGAGGACATAAACTTGTAACTTGTAAGGATCCCGAACCATCAATAAGATAACACTCTAAAAAACCTAGGATTCAAACATTGTATTAGGACTTACAAACAAAGGGACGGTACGTAAACAGTTTCTGTAGGGCTTTGACCTCCCAAACCATAACAGAGACATTCAAAGGCTTTATAATATAAGGCCTTTTTACGTTGATGTTTTATAATAACTGAAAAGTGACATAAAATGGACCTACATGTGAAGTCCAAGCCTAGCAACAAAATTCCAATAATTCTGTTTATTTGTATTTTTGCACGTTTATTTCCGTTTAGATCTTATAAGATAATAATGCATAACAACTTGAGAACTTACGTTCTTTTAGACTCCACAAACATCAGCTAGCTTTCTCAGTAAAGTAACCTGAGATTTAAGAAGCATGAGATGCTGAATTGACTTGAGGATTAAGGCTTCCTCGTCGTCCACCTCTTCACAACTTGGTACAACCCTGCGCAGAATCCCTAGGTTTCTTAGCATACAACTTTCACCAAACTTCGGCTTCTCCTTTCGTCCCAAACGATCATTTTGCTTGACCTTCTTGCACTTCACCATCTTTATCACGTCCTACACTCCAGACCTATTAGATACAAGGCCATGCATATATAAAGAAACTGTGAGGATGGCGAAAAATATGGAACAAAACAAGCTGTCTGGATAAAATGCTTGACAGAGAGAAGGAGACAAGGAACCCATATCAATGCCATAACCATTGATCATGTCCATGCCAATCCACCCTTGCAATCTTTAATGTTCAATGCATCTCTTTGTGGTCCTCATGTCTCATGTCTGTCATGATGCCATTATTGTTTTGTTGTTTAAATTCTAGAATGGTTCCATTTTGCATGCATCAGTTATTGAAAAAGAAAATGGGCCGAGTGGTTACAAAAATACATGTTCCACACTGACTCAAATAATAAGCCCATCACTTCGTATTCTTCAAAACTCAACATGGTATCACAGAACATTGAATTGATTGGGCGTGTGTGTAACATAACAAGATTTGGTCATGAGTTATGCAGTTATACTAAGAGTTGATTACCTAAAGAGACACATTTTGTCTTTTGTTTGCACATAAAGACACATTGTGCTTGCAAGACACATTATTTTGGAGTGTAGTGTTTGATTAGACATTTATGCCCCCATTCAACTCAACACTATATTTTTATATCTCTCATCTCGCTAGCAACACCTATTTTGTCATCTCCACACTTCTATCCACACCTCTCTTCTCCTCTCTGCAGTCCATGACCACAATACCTTTCGAATCCACACCTTTATCCACAACTCTATCCACACCTATCTTCTCCTCTCATGACCACAACACTTCTGTTGTCCACACCTTTCCTCTCCTCTCTGCAGCTTCACATCAAACCAGTAACATGACATTAGACACCACAACACCTCTCAAGTACACACCTCTATTTACACTTCTCTTCTCCTCTCTGTAGTCCATGACCACAACATCTCTCAAGTCCACACCTTTATCCATATCTCTCTTCTCCTCTCATGACCACAATATTTCTCCTGTCCACACCTTTCCTCTCCTCTCGGCAGCTTCGCATCAAATCCATAGCCTCTGTTACAAAAAAAATTTCATCACAAAACAAAACAAAAAAATAAAAGGAAGAAACTTTAACTGAAACAAGAGATTGGTGTTGGAGAAAGACTTGAACTTTTACTTAGAAGGGTGGATAATATAAATCAACCATAAAGATCAAAGCTTTTAAGTTCCTACCAATGGAAATCTCTTTCAAACCAACGATCTTAACCACCACCTATGTTTCTTTTCACTCTCTACCAACTCCACTTTGAAGGGTGTTTCTTGTCACTCACCACCACCAGACCCGAGTTTAAATCCACAATCCATCCCGTTTCTCTTCAAACTCATCGTCTACATTATCTCTCCATGGACAAACTCGTTATTCACTCATTGTATCATGACATCACGAGTTACCGGAATCACCTCAAAAGTCAGAGAATTTGCAGATCTAAGGTACAAGACCTTCCTTCTCCTCTCGGGTTCTATTGATTGGGTTAGGGATTTGGCTTCATCGACGATAGAGAGAGGTTTCATCAGTGGGGTTAGGGATTTTATGGACAACAAGATTACAGATTTCATCGAGGAGAGAATTGTGGTTTCTGAGATTTAATTTTTTTTTAAAAAATTATTGATTAGTTATCGAAAAAGGAAGTAACGAGAGAGAAGGTAAAGAGAGAGACAATAAGGGTATTGAAGTCTTTAGACACACAAAAAGTGTGTGACAAGTTCAATGTGTCTTAAAGTGTAAATGAAAACTCATAAAGTGTGTGTAGATGTAAAAAATTCTTATACTAAGCACCACAAACATAACATTGTCAAAGACATTACAAGCCAAACCAGGCTCCGGTACCCGAACTTCAGTCCATTGGATGATGGATCCTCATAGTTTCGGTCTCTTAGCTGTCATCGGTTTCCTCCAAGTCTCTGCCTCGGCGGCTCGATTGTTAATGAACCCTAAAGACAGTTAATGAATGGATCATATTCAAGATCCGGTTTATGGTTCAAGCGATGGACATCACAGGCTGTTGGAAAACGCTCTTGGTTTTCTGCTCTTAACTATTGTGTTACAACCGGTGGAAGCACTTGCTAACGCGCAATTGCCTTTTTTCTTTACAAATGTTTGTTCCCATTTTTTGGGAGAAAAAGGTGCTAATTGGTTCTGTAAATGGGATGGTGATTTTTCTTTCATTTTGTAATAACTGAAAATGTTTTAAAAATTTAATCAAATTGGCTTCGCCACTTTCATAGTAATGGTGTTATTAGGCTTAATATAAACAAAGATTTACAGATCTATAGATAAACTCATGAGAGTACATAACAAGTGATAAATTATGGAAATAATATCAAAATTTACATAAAGCTCAGGAGGAATAAACAAAACAAACAAACCCAAAAGAAAATACAAAAAGTGCCCAAAGATGAAAGAAAACAAAAGAACATTACAAAACTAATAAGCCTTGCAAGATCAAGAAAAAAATACTAAAAACATAGAAAAAAATCTATTGATGATTTAGTAGAAATAAAACAAAAATTAAAAGCTCAGCAAGGATAATGCCAATGGAACACTAATATTTAAGGAATCTTTTTCTCCGTGAGATCCTTATGCATTCGAAAGTACATCCATGGTCTAATGAAGATACAATTAAAACTTGAGCAAGAGATATAGTCATCGTTACTATCATAAATATCATGATAATTATGATAGTGATGATCATCTCATGATCAAGAAATAAGAGGAATGATATGATGCTTTTGCCCTGAAGTGATGATGTGAAAAGGCAGGTTAGTTGTGTTTATATATAGGGAGATAAAAGAGGATGAACGTAACGGAATGCTAGACCTCTACTCTATATATAAACTAATAGAAGCTAGACCCTTTTTCTTTCTTTTTGCAGAAAAGAAAAAAACAAATGGAAGCGAGAGATGATAGAACAAAGTTACAAAACCAACACAATAAATATATTTTTCTAGAGCATATTTCTAATGTAGATATAAGACATTTACGAAAAGACTGTATAAACTAATTTATGAGAATTTATTCCACCAATAGTCAGAGAGTCAAAATATATAAATAAATAATATTCACAAGTGGCCAGCATATGATAGCTGAAGTCACACGTTTTACAAATTTCGAGTTCAGAAGCACATTAAGATTGTGAAAGACTGTGTTATGGGTAAACATATATATTTATGCATGTAACAAATATTTATGCTGTGATTTCGTTGTACAAAATTAATTACATATAAGACTATAGTTATATATGATCAGCACGACATACTGTATGAATATTTTTATTTGTTTGATTAAAACTGTATGAAGATTTTGATTTTTGAGCGACATATTTAACTTGTTTGTTAAGAGGTTTCAGAATGAGAAAAAAGGTTTCAGAGTGAGATTTTGAGGAAAACAAATTATTCCAAAAATAGTTTGGACCTTTTTCTTATCAAGATATGCCTCGGTTTTAAGATTTTACTTTTAGCTGACACTGTTTTTGGTTTCTGTCACATTTTTTTGCCGTCTGAGTTACGAAATGGGAGGAATACTTTTACCTTTAAATCTCCTCTGTGCTCTTTTTACGTATAATTTAAGAAAATTAGGGTTTCCCATTTTCAAAAAATAAGAAAGACACAAGACCACCAAGCAATTATCAATACTGAATTTTTGATCTTCATCAAATTTATAACAAATTTTATAGCTTTTAAGCTATATATATTGGTTATATTTATTTTAGTACTTAGTTATAAAAAATAAGCAGAGAGTTGTTTATATAAAACTAGAAAGGAGATTCGGAACTTTTGTCCTGCCATAATCCCTACCTTCTCTTGTGTTTTGTTGTTATAACAAACAGTGAAATATAAGAAAACATTTAATTTTGTGTTATAATCAGTTTACAGAAGATTCAAAGCTCTTTAATCATCTTCTCAAAAATAAAAGAAGAGATGGTGAGATAAAACAAGAATCAAATATAAGAGACGGGTGAGTAATTACTGTAATTCAGTTTTGCTGTATATCAAAGAAGAGAACAGAGACAAAAGCTGCAAACGTATAAATAGGTGTAATCATCACAAACTCTGAGATGTGACAATACATTGTCAAGCTTCTGTCTCTTTCTCTGTTCTTCCCTCTGATGGCTTTAATACTGTTATTATTTCTTAATTATTTGCAGAAACAAAGAAAGAAAAGTAACCTTTCAGAATTGTATAGTATCTATGCATGCTTATTACCGATCCTTCAACGTTCAGATTGTTTTTAAGTCAAAGAGTCTCTTATACCAATATAGAAAGCGTGACAGGACGACTCTGATCTCCCAATTTGTTTAATAGGAAAAATTCTTTATTGTGTCAATTTAGAAACTTTCACACATGCACATGCAACTAGTTGATGTGAAGATTCGAAGGAAGTAAATAGACGATCCTAGTAACATTTTCTTTGCTCCATCGGCGTTGGGGAAGAGACCTGACCACCTGAATTGCTAAACTATATATTGCTAAGCTTAATTATCTGTTTAGTACTGCAAAATAATAGCAAAAACAATTGTGACTAATTAAATATAGTACTATTTAACAAAACGACTAAATAATCTGTTTTCTTTATTAAAATAACTAATTATCTCCTCATTTTTGTAAATGAACAAATAAAAATATTTAATATTTTTTTTCTTTTAAGTCCCATTGGATATTTTGTTTATTTTTGAAATTAAGTCATAATTGAGTTAGAGGTTGCATAGATTTGGATATTCAGCTAAATACCACGATGGAATTTGATTGTCCAGACTCATAGAGGAAGACGGCATCTCAATGTTCTACCTAATCGAGAATGAGATACAAAAGATGTGGGTACAAGGTCTTACTCCAAAGAATGATGTGACGTTGTTGAAAGGGTAAAGGGATAAATTCAAAGCTAAGTTGAGCATCAGACAAACTTGGCATAAATTGATGGAAGATCTATCTTCACTTGACTCGTTATACTTCAATAGACTATCAATAAGTGATTAAGTTACAGTAGAAGTCACGAGCTGAAGTCTCATTTATTCTATGCAAAGACTCGTTTAGAAACTCGTGTGATCATCTGTACTGTTGCTGCAAATATTCAAAGGGGATAAGAAAATGGTGTAACACCAGCACGCCTCATTTAAAGTAGACATACAAGTGTTAACGAATGTTATGGAGACATGATTCACTTCTAATAAATGACTAAGAAATATGCATCTTTAAAATTCTCAATCAATGTTTTAGATTGCGTTACAAAACAAGTTTCCAACCATTGTAAGAAAAATGTGATTTAAATTAAATTTACTTCTCTAAGAAAAACAGAATTTTGTTCTTTAGTAAGAAGAAAGTCACATTCCACATCAATGGTTTTAGACCCAAACCCACGAGTCCTCCACCAGCTTCTCTGTGACTCTGGTATGGCTTGAATCAATATATGTTACTCTTGAGCACTACATGCTGCGTATAGGGACCACTTAAAGTGAATAATACAAGATTAAAAGAAACCAAACTCATCAAATTACAGTTAGTTTGTCTTAACCATACCTTAATCTGTGTCCTGTTATATGTATAAGTGACGTGGACATTCCCGTCTCCGGCTTGTATAACCGCCGGATACGAAAACTCCATTCCCTGAGTATCCTCCAACGTTAAAACATCAGTCCAAGTATCACCATCGTCTAAAGAAACTCCTACTTTGAGCACACCTCTTGAGTCTGTATTGTAAGCAAGAACTAGCCTACCATCCTTTAGCTTGACTCCATCAATACCTGTCCATGAATAACTCACCAATGAAGCAACCTAAAGCCAAGACTATTTTGTATGATGAGTTGCTGGGGTTTCAAGAAACCTGAATTAGGGTTTGGGAGAACAGTTGGTGTTGCAAAACTCCAATTCTCACCACCATCAGAAGATTCTGAGATACAGATTCTATCAATGCCAGTGAATGATCTGAGTAGAACCCTCAATCTCCCATCTGCGGTTTGGTATGGAACCGGTTGAATCACGCTAAGACTCGTCCCTTGAATGTATATAGGGCCATGTTTTTTCCATGATCTACCAGCATCTGAAGTGACCTGTACACAAGTTTCATCGTTAAAAAGCAATGCAGCATACTCAGTTGGACATAGGAAGTTTGAAACAAACCTCCATCCACGCTCCCCATGAGTTCCAACTTTCAACGGATGATCCACAGAGGAGAGTCCCATCTTCAAGCAAAATAGGCTGCAGCAAAAGGAAGTTAAGAGTCTCTAAGCAATACAAAAGGTTTAAGTCAAAAGGAGACTACAAAGAAGGAAACCTTGTTTTTAATGGGTCCGAGTATCCCTGGAGGAAGCTGCTCTCTGTTAGTCCAGGTTCTACCTTTGTCATAAGATCGTTTCATGCAACCGCTCCATCTATGTTTTTTCCACCAAAAACAAGACAAATCAAAGGAATGAAACAAGCAAAACAGAGTTATATATCATGTAAAACTGAGTGAAATATTTTTTTAAAGTACTTTTGAACCTCCAGGCCGATTTTGTAGAACAATAAGAGCTCTTGTGATGGAAGCTTGAACAAAACAGGGTTCCACATTGGTACTCCTGGCTCTTCATCTACCATAACCGGTGATTCCCATTGACCATACTGAAGAACCAATCAAATACTTAGTCATTTATGGTGTCAAGACTCCAAATGATTTTGATAGAGAGAGTCTATCTTAGCTACCTTGAAATGTTGCAGCCATATTTTGACATCAGGTGCTCCTTCATACGTGCCTCCGAAATAAGCAGCCAAAAAGTAATCTTCTTCAACCTTTTTTTTAACAAAAAAAAAAAAAATACAAATAAACCGCTAAGTTTAGACCAATTCATCACTAAAATTTTAGGTGACTCTTGTAGTGGCCTTAAGACCTCAACGATGGTAGAGGCATGACAACTCTTGAAGGGAGCTGAATCAGTAGGGAATGTCAAAGTCTCTAGCACCACTTTGAAATCTGTCACCGACATCTGCAGTTTTGTAAATCGTTGGTAAGTTTGTTTCATTACCAAATGTAACTGTTCTTGCTTCCAGATCCGTAATCAACAAGAAACTTCTTCTAAAAATTTTGAACAAAAATTTATCTCAGGTATATAAACATCACATCACAATGAACACAGTAGCTAAGATCAATGAGATTCCCAGAAAAAAAAAAGTCAACGGAAATCACAATTACAAGTGTCAAAGAAGACAAGAGAAGAAGATTACCTTCGAAAGTTTTGAGACTTTCAGTTTCAGATTGACTTTAAGTCAACGCTTCTTCTTCTTCGGTAATGACAGTGTCAGATCCGCCATTGACTTTTCTTTGCACTGACAGACTAAATATACAGGCTTTTTAATCGGGCCTTGATATAAAGCCCAACATCACTATGCTTCCTTAGGCCCATAAAGTTCGTAACGAACTGTTAACGAACTTTGGTGGGAATGATTTATCTACTAAATCCTGAAAATAAGCTCAACGGTCGATAAACAAAAGGATCAAAACAGAGCAAATCTCTCCCTCTCTGATCAAACAAAACAAAAAACAAAACAAACAAAAACATTCAAAGCTTCTTATCTTCTCATGTCTCCGTCGTCCTTAAGCGTTACGCAAAAACCCCTTCCATAGATTCATCAAGAAGATTCAAAAAAACTTCAAAATCTTTCCACTACTTTCATTCAAAAACAGAGAGAGATAAAAAAAAAGATGGACTCACCGCCGTCTACGGGAGATTCATTAACGGCGAGGATGATTCCACGGCATTCATCGCTCGATTCCTTCGGAGCGATGAAAGTCGTTCAATTAGTCAACCTCGCGAGCATAAGGGTCTCTAAAGCAGAGCTTCGTCAGAGAGTCATGCTCCCTAAATACCTCCGCCTCGCGATCCGAGACTGCATCCTACGCAAAGAAGATTCCTCCTCCGCTTCCTCCTCCTCCTCCTACGTGACGCCGGAGGTTCCTCTGATGGTTTTCGTTAACCCCAAAAGCGGTGGTCGTCAGGGTCCGCTTATCAAAGAGCGTCTCCAGAATCTAATCAGCGAAGAACAGGTTTTTGATCTTACGGAAGTGAAGCCTAATGAGTTTATAAGATATGGTTTGGGTTGTTTAGAGGTGTTAGCAGCACAGGGAGATGATTGTGCTAAAGAGATTCGTGAGAGGATTAGAATTGTGGTAACTTTTGGTTATTGTTAATTGTTTTTCATTTGAAACTTTTTTTGTTAATATTGTCAATGGTTTGATTATTTATTACAGGTTGCAGGTGGAGATGGAACTGTTGGTTGGGTTCTAGGATGTCTTGGTGAACTTAATTTACAAAACCGGCAACCTGTTCCTCCGGTTTCTATAATGCCACTTGGAACTGGAAATGATCTGTCTAGAAGCTTTGGATGGGTATAAAAGGAACTTAATTGTCTTTATTTTTATCTTTGATTATATGGAAATGTTGTTGGGTTTGTAGATATTTTTTAAATGTATGTTCTGACTTCTGATTAAGGTTATAATGGTGTTTTAGGGAGGTTCTTTTCCATTTGCGTGGAAGTCAGCTATAAAACGAACACTTTATAGGGCAAGTATTGCTCCAGTAAGCCGTCTAGATAGGTAAGATTAGTACCAGGAAAATATGATATGAACATTATATTGTCCAGATGTGTTTTAATGTTTTTTGTGTTTGAAATATTTGATGCAGTTGGAATATTTTGATTACAATGCCTTCTGGTGAAATAGAAGATCCTCCTTATTCTTTAAAAACCACACAAGAATGTACCATTGACCAGGTTTGATTTTAAACCAAAGGGAACTCTTTGTGATATTGTGTTTGGATTATGGTTGATTAGTCTTTTTTTTGTTGTTGTTGTTGTTGTTGTTGCAGACTTTGGAGATAGCAGGAGAGCTTCCTCCATCTAGGAACGGATATGAAGGAGTCTTCTATAATTACTTTAGTATAGGTATGGATGCTCAAGTGGCTTACGGTTTTCACCATTTGCGGAATGAAAAGCCTAACCTTGCGAATGGCCCTATCGCCAATAAGGTAAATTACCAAATCTTATGAGAGTTTGATTACTAAGAAAGGAGTCTAACAATTTTGTTGTTGCAGATTATATATTCGGGGTATGGTTGCTCTCAGGGTTGGTTCACGACGCATTGCACAAACGATCCGGGTTTAAGGTCTATATAAAATACAAGAACAACATATATGATACAACCTCAAAAAATGGGGTTTAAACAGATTTGTATTTTTTTGGGATTTTAGGGGTCTCAAGAACATAATGACGTTACATATAAAAAAACTAGACTCATCCGAGTGGGAGAAAGTACCAGTTCCCAAAAGGTATCTACATAATAGAGACAAAAACACAAAGGAAACACATTCTAACTGGGTTTATAATCAAACTGGTGTTTTTTTTTTTCGTTTTTGGTACAGTGTAAGAGCAGTGGTTGCATTGAATCTACATAGCTATGGAAGTGGAAGAAATCCATGGGGAAATCTCAAACAAGACTATCTTGAGAAAGTAAACAAATTAAACCTCGATTTATGCTCGGTTTTATTATTATTCTTTTCATTATCCACACTATTAACGATTGCTTGGAATGTACGTAATAGAGAGGCTTTGTGGAGGCTCAAGCCGATGATGGGCTTCTTGAGATCTTTGGTTTAAAGCAAGGATGGCATGCTTCTTTCGTCATGGTTGAACTCATCTCTGCCAAACACATTGCACAGGTACCTCATTTTGGTGTAGACCAAATCTGGTTTAGCAGAACCGGATCCATTGTTTAGATTATGAAATAAATTAGGGCCAGGACCAGCCACGTGCACGGTGCACAACATATCTTATCAAGCCTGCTAAAACCGAGACGGATGGATCCATCAAACAGACGATTATTGCTTTGTTGTTAGCAAGTAACGTTTATTAGGCTCTCAAGACTAGACTTTTAGGTCTAATATATTACCTTCTTTTGAACTAGTCCTTATCCAGATAGACCGACTTTATATCCCATCATAAGTAGGGCTGGGCGATATTTGACTTTATTGTTAAATAAAATTATAAAATTACATGTAAGAATGCATTTTTAATTAGGAATTAGTCCAAATCTCGTCTGAAATGGGACAAGAACTAGATGATAGCTTTACTTTTCTTTTTGTTCGTTGTGATCAGTTCATGAAACTTAGATGTTTCAGTAAAATGTGTTTTTGTTTTACTAATAGGCGGCGGCGATACGGCTAGAGATAAGAGGAGGAGCATGGAAAGATGCGTTTATGCAAATGGATGGGGAGCCATGGAAACAGCCAATGAGCAGAGACTACTCTACCTTTGTAGACATCAAGAGAGTCCCTCACCAGTCTTTGATCGTCAAGGGAGATTGACTATTGATGATCTTGACTTGTTTATTAAATTAATCTCTTCCTATCTTATACGTGTATTTGTGAATAACCACTTCTACAAAAAACATATTAAAAAGTAAATACTTATCTACGATATAATTAAAGAAGACCAAATTGGCAAGGTTGCTTCAGACAAGAAGTAACTAAGATTTCGGAGTGAGTGATGAGTAGACGGACACTCGTTGAAGAACATTACATAGGTGAATGGACCATTAGGACATAACTTTCAGAAAAGTGCTAATTGCCATTTGTACGTGCGAACCACTTGCAATTTCTATAGTAGTGTTTTTAGTACCAAAGCCACTATATAAGGGGTAAAAATATTTAACCTTTAGTTGAAAAAATTTAACCATTAATAAATCAATTATGTACAATGATCCGTTCTATGAAGTTTCATACGAAACAAACAGAAAGAAATTATAATTCAATCGAATGAATATGAAAATGCTGTTTCATTTGTTAATTTTGATTATATTTTAATATGATTTTGTTATACAATAGTTGATTAAGTTATTTTTTTACTGTGAACTTATTTTTGTTAACTAGTGTCTTATTTTTCTTGAAAAAACTCAATTTGAATCCTTAAACAATCAAGCAAAATAAGGACTATTTATGATTCCGTGACAATCTTTCATGAACCAGCGATAAGAAATAGAAGAAGAATTTGCTCAAAAGAAAAAAAAATAGAAGAATAATTAAATACTAATAGGAGTGTGAAAAAAAACGAGATACTCACAATATATATGGAATGAGATAGGGCAATAAAAAACTGAATTGATTACTTGAGTATTGATCTCACTAGTTGTAATTAAAGCTGATATAAGATTGCATGAGTTCGTGTCTTGATGCCTCATACTACGACGTAATTAGAAAAGACAGTAATAATACTACGTCAAAATGGAAACATAAGTATGAGTTGTAAGCTACGCCATTATAAACCCATAGGTCATAGCTTGTATATGTACACATCAGCCTAAATATGAACATAACATGCCTGGCTGGATGATTGATCAGCTTGTTAGCAAGAAAAATCAACATTTTCTTTATATCGGCATATTCAAAAAATCGTTACAAACTTTTGAATGAAAATATTAAGGTGAGGTTTGATGAGACTAAGCTTAAAAGGATACTAATATTTCAGTCACCGAATTTTCTAGCTAACGCTTTCGATTTCTTCACGCTAATTGAATCTCAATCAATCTTCGTATAGCGAACATGACGACATATACTGATAAATATAAATAAACTGCTAATAAAAAGCGAGAAACAAAACATTAACCTAGCATTATATCGGTTTAGCTTTTACTATTTGACTCTCTCTGTAATTATTTTTGGTGTATATATTCATTTTTCTCTTAGATTTCTTGTTCGTCTTACAAAAGTCGGAAGCTTAAGGTTTGTTGAATACTGTTTTGTAGCAGTGTTAAATCTATGTTTTTTTTGTTATATGTATATATAAAAATATTGGAAATGAGAATTTGCAATTAGTAAAAAAAAAAGAAGTTGCAATTAGTTCTGTAGTGTGTACATATATTATGTGTGGGGATCGAAATATTATGTTGTTCCAAAAAGATTAAAATCAAATTATTAAGACGTGGGACTACATTTCTTGTAAGAAAATACTCAAATGAATCATGTCTCCCATAATAATTGTTCTTCCATCTCGCAAAAGAAGAACATGCTTTTTCACCTTTTGTATTTTTCCTTTAATAAAACATTTTATGGCACTCTGTCTTCTTTTCTTGCGAGCAGCAGCTCCATATTCTTTGTTATTTTTTATTTTATTATCCTCTGCGCCAACGCATTTCTCAAAATAAAAAAAATTTGGAAAATGGAATATGTAGCTAGCTTTCTTTATCGCCAAGTATAGATGTATTCTATAGTACAGTTACTACTATTAAATTGATTTAGAAACTTGTGTATACCCAAGTTATTTTTCTATATTATCTACTCTGTAAACGTGTCTCTTTGGTGATGGTCACTGGTTAGACTCCATATGTAGATTCATTCATAAACACAATTAATAGGCGAATACTTAACTAAACTCATGTTAGGGAATAGATACGGGTCACTCACATAATTATTTATTCGTTTTATTATCGTGCTTGATTAGTTATATTATGTTTTAATTATTGCTAGACTAAAGGATGCTCATAATTACTATTTATATGATTTGGGATAATACACCCATCGGATCCTAATCCATGGGCTTTACTTTAGAGAATGTATATAAAACTAGTAATGAAAACGAGAGTTTAACTTAATCGCAATAGATTAATGAAACGAGTGGGATTTGGTTGGAATCTTTGTCAGGGCATTGTTTACTTTGGAAGCTTTTAATATATAAGTGTTCCCTTTGATATTCAATTATAGATCATAGAAGATTATTAACGCAATATAATAAGTGGACTCACTACACAACTAGTATTATATCATTGCTGATAAAATAAAATGAAACGAATAAACAGTGTGGAAATAAGAGCACCCCATTAGGGAATTTAAGGGGGGGGGTCACACGTTTACCGAGGGAAACAGTGATGAACTCAGCGCGCGTGGGTTCGTCGTGGTGAACCCAATTTGTCACGAATTGGCCACGTGGCGGGCCGTGATTCGCCAATTTTTTTTTTTTTTTTTGAAAAAGTAAACGAGAAAAAAAAATAAAAAAAAAAGTAAAAAAAAAAATAGCTGGCAAACCCCACCTCAGTATCACTGGTGGGGATGCTCTAAGGACGTAACGTAAGTGAATGGAATAGACAAAAAAAAAGAAACGCAAGTGATTGGAAATGATGGAATTATCGTGGTGTCTGTTGTTAAAAAAAAAAACGGAATATCGTATTCGTATGTCCTTGACGTGTACATCTTGAGTGGAAGCTGACGCGAGAAATGGACCCCTTATTGCTAATTATTTATTCAGCTGTTTCCATACAAATAGTATTGCGCCCGATGACAAGAACAAACACAACAAATATTCCTCAGAAATCCATTCTTTCATTGCCAGTAGACCTTGAGAAGATGAATGGCTTAGCTTAGATTTTTGAGAAATTCCCAAGGGTTAACTAAAACGTATTATTCAAAATGAATTTTGGAAAAAATAAAAAATTTGAAAAAACTTCTAAAACAAGAAATATTTTTTTTCAAAAAAAATTTGAAAACAAGATAATAAAAAAAAGTGAATTCAAGATCATATCATCCAATTTCTTTTAGTTATTTTTATTATTTATTTAAATAAAAATTATATATTAAATAAGAATAAAATTATCTTTTAGTTTTGTAATGAAATATTTTTTATTTTATTATGTGTTTTTTGATAGAAAAAATTATTTTAATGTAATTTTTGAAAATCTTCTTAATCTAATGATTTGACTAACATCTTATTAATGTTTCTATAAAAAAGGTATGAGTTTCAATTCTTATAGAAGTTGGAATTATACGAATTAATGTAGAAAAACCTTACAAGTGATTTGTAATATGGTCAAACGTGAATTCCATAGAACGTATGTGGTGTAGTCAAACATGATATTTGACAGGTAGAATTGTTGGTTGTTAAATCGTCCATAATATTCCTCCTAATTTGTAATATCATAACTATCTAACGTTAATAGAACAAATAATAAGCAAAAAAATATTATTTTTAAAAATTACTAATCAAGTCAAAACTTCTAGTTTCAAAAAAGTATTTGTTTCCTTATTTACTATAATCACTATTTATATTTAAAATCATGAACACATTTAATTTTACATTAACTTAGATGAGAATGATTACATTTGCACCATTTTTCTCTTGCATTTTTTTTTCTTTTCCGTTTAGTCTAGAAATACTAATTATACAATAAATAACAAAATAAATCTATGAAACAACACGTATTTTGAAATATAAACAATAGCATTATAGGAAGGATTTTTCCAATACAAAAATAAAGATAGAATGTATCTACTGATTTATCATTTGAGTGATTTATTTTGAATGATTTTAACTTTAAAGTGAGAATAAAATTACTGATAATTATACTGGTCTAGATAAATTGAAGTTTGATAGCAGTAAAATAAATTTCTGACAAACTTTATCTCTTAATGTTTAATGGTGTTCTAGAAAAAGAAAAGGGAAAAAAGAGAGAGAGAAAAATGGTGTTCATTTCGGAAAAGCGCAACTACTCATCCAGTAAAACCAGCATTTGAAAGAGTTGGAGTGGAAAAAGAAGAAAAAGCTCTCCCTTTCTAGTTCTGATGTAGCTCAATCGGTTAGAAGAAGTATTTTAACAATGCTTTCGGTATTGGTTGTCACTGAAGTTTGGATACCTGCGAATATATACAGTTTGTTACTTTTAACTTAGTTTCAAACAGTAAAAACAATCTCTCAGTAATTTTAGTCATATACATATATAATTCTCAAATGTCTTAAAACGAGCTGCTTAAAAGTTTGAACGCTAGCTTTTTAACAATTGAAACAAAGTGATTGAGAAAATGTGAACATCATCACTAGTGAGTTGGGTTGTTTTCAGGTATTCTAATCGTTTTCTCAAATGTGTTTGACTAAACAGAAAAAAATTCAAGTGATAGGAACTTGACCAAGTAAAGTTTGATCCAAATAGACTGTGTGCAAAAATGTGGGGGACCCTTTTAGTTATCTCATATACATTTTTCAAGATATATATCTTTGGCAGTGATGAGATAACTGAGGCCTATGGGATATGGGGTTTAATATGTTGTTTCCAGCTTTTTCATTCAGGGTTTCCACTATACCTTTTTAAATTTATTTATATTTCTTTTTGTATTGTTCTAATACTTACAGAAACATCATTTTTAAACGTAAAATTTGGAAGGTTTTCTTGTTAGAGTGAAGTTATGCATAGTGGAGTTCTTAATCATAAAATCGACAGCGAGCACTTGTTAAAGCATATTATGGTGGCTGGTACCGCGCTGGGTTTTGCATGGATATATAATGAATTCTCTTCTATATTCAGTTTCTGAAATATTTTATCTATCTTCCACATGATTTATAATAATAAGAATATAGAATAGAAAAATGGATTTGATTTCATGTTCGTGGACATACAAATGTGTTTTACCAGGTTTTATTTTCAGTTTCCAAATCACATTTTGTTAGACTACATATGAATTGTTGTTTGCTCTAATTTTTTGAGATTAAATTCACTGGGTCTAAAGTAAATAATCATAGATACTCAAGTTATAATGGTTAAAGAAAATATTTTTTATTATATATTGCTGTTTATTAGTACAATGTTGTTAAAGGAAAAAGATACATGTAACAAAGTCGATCAAACAAAAACATATATACATGTAATAAACTACGCGTTAGTACATTCCAACATCGCTAAATGAGCTGAGAACAATTTCTGTCTACATTCAGATATCCTAACGTATAATTACCAGTGATTTAACATTTTTTCGCCGGCGAACGGTTTACGGTTTTTATATATATATAATAATTAGATCTACAAAAAAGCCGTTGTGAATGTTTTTTTTTGTTTTCGTAAACCCGTTGTGAATGTTAGTCTTCAAACCCTTTCCGAGATTTCATGTCCCATACGTATTCGTTTGTTTGTTTTCTTCTTTTTGAATTTCAGAATCATGCATATGTTACGTATAAAGTTCATAGATTAAAATCAATATCTCCAAGAGCTGAAATATGCTATATAGTCTTTTTTTTTTTAGTTTTTAGGTAACGTTCGCTTTATTTGTTTGGCGTTAACGGTTACAACGTTTGCGGCCATCCTTCACGTTTGCATCGCTCACCTAATTTTAGCTGCTTTAAAGGAACCGTTTACGGTCAGTCTCTTGTCCTTTTCTATTTCCCTTTAAAGGCTACTTAAACTCTTTTTTTTTTTTTTTTTTTGCTTAAACCCTCTTCATCAGATGATTCTTTGCTAGATATCCATCATCAATTATTGTTTTCTTTCCTTCTAATTTAACTTCATGACTCGTGTCACGTTTTACTTCTCTTCTGTAAATTTAAAGAACAGAGTTATTAATCAAGTAGATGTTTATCTTAAGCTGCTCAACACTAAGATAACTATTGTACTACGAAGATATTATCATAAGTCCTGCAACTATTTTAATCTAGAGTGTTTGAGTGCATTCGACACTATGTAAATGGTGTTATTAATTATCTAAAACAGTGTTCAAGCGTCAAAATTAATGATTACTTATATTATAATCCCAGTGTTTATCTTCAAAGTATGATTGAATGGAAGATATATAATTTTTTAAACCATCCACTGATTAAGCTTTAAAGTAGTTACAATACTACTAAGAAACACAACACCTTATATTTGGGGTCCCAACTGATCAACTAACCAACGCAAACTCATAACTAGACGTCTCGTTATAAGTATATACACATGCATGCATAACCTTGTCTATACGCATATTATTTAGCTCTCACATGGATATTTGTTACTGATACGAATGTAAATATAAATTGTTGATGTAATTCTAAATAAATATCTATCGTAATAATTTGATTTTTAATATTTGTTGCAATCCAATCTAATATTACATGTCGTCGATAGAAACTGTTATGCAAATTATGTAGATGATTTTAGAAACTGTAGAATAAGCTGCAGGTTGAAATTAAACCTCTACAACCACAAAAAAGATCGCCAATTTTTTTTGTTTGTTTATAGTCAAATTAAAGTGTTTGCTGATACATCAATTATTAATTTTGTTTTATAGCAAGCTTTATTTTTATCTCGAAGTTGTAGAAATCATCGAAAATGTGTTGATATCCCATTTTTAGTTACAAATTCACAGCAGTTTAATTAGTTCCATTTTGATACATCACCTACATACTTTAGAAAACGATACAAAAAGAAAATACATATCATAGTTATGTACTACCGTCACGACTCCACACAATCATCATTAAAGATAATTTGATTGATTGATAAAACGTAAACTGAATTCGTCGTCTTTTTCCATACAAAAATATAAACTACAGAAGAAGAATTTTTAAAAATGAACCAAAAAGGATCTCATATACGAAACAAAATAAAATAAATTTATCATTATTATACGTCACACACAATCCACAACGTTAATTCGCTTCCTCTCTTCTATAAATCCCATCGTCACACTTCTCCTCCTCTCACCAAAAAACATTTTCTGTTTACAAAAAAAAAACTCAAAGCCACTTTTTCTCTCTCTAAAAATTATAAGAAAATGGAAGGAAGACAATATTACCCTCCAAGAGAGAACGTCGACGGGAACAGAACCACCTTGGGAGGACCTCACTCTCCGTGGCATTCACCTGTTCCTTATCTCTTCGGTGGTTTAGCTGCGATGCTTGGTCTCATTGCCTTCGCTCTTTTAATCCTTGCTTGCTCTTATTGGCGTCTCTCTGGTTATCTCGACGGTGAGGAAGACCAGAGCAGAGGCAGAGATCTTGAAGCCGGAGATGTGAAACCCGACAAGGCCGCCGTGGAGGCTGTACCTTTGCCGGAGAAGTTCTTGGTGATTATGGCTGGAGACGTGAGACCCACTTACTTGGCGACTCCGGCTGAAAAGAGTTGTACTTGTGACGATGATGAAGATAAAGGTGGTGGTGATGATGACGTAAAGGGTTGTGATCAGGTGGTGCGGCGGAGTACTGAGAGTAATGGTGTGACACAGTGAGTAACAGAGTATCTGAAGAGAGAAAGACAGAGGAACAGTTCTTTAGCTGTTTGCATCTGACCCGGTTGCTTCTGGTATTCGGGTCGGGTCAGAGCTCCATGATGAGATTTGTAGTTATATTATATAGTCTGACCAGGTTGGTTCATAGGGTGGCGAAAACTAAAAAAAAAATTGAATTGGTTCTGATTAATGTTATTTAATCTCAGCTTTTGGATTAGTTTTTTTAGGCTTTTTTAAGTTGTAAGTTTGTGATTCATCAGTTTTGTTCCTTTTCTTAGTTATAATGGGAAAAAAGTCGGAAAACTGTAAATTTCAGAGACTTTGGATGGACAAATTATGATTATTTTGAGCTTGAAATTTAAAATAGAATTTTGATGCTTTATACTTGAAAGTGTAATGTTATGGTCAGGACCAGTTCATGTTTTCTCGTGGGGTTAATGTGACAAGTGGTTTGGAAGAGTCTTCAGGTTAGAACAATTGAAGCCAGCACCAAAGGCACGTGCCTTCAGATATGCAGAACATAGTCTGATTTTAATTAGGTGTCTCTCTGATGCGGCGAGGTGAAGCAGGTGGTTTCAATCAATGGTTCGTAGTGTGTAATTTATTTCATTTTAGCATAATCTCTAGAAGTAAATAATACTATGGAATATTTTTAAGTTTTAAGAAAGACCTTAACATATCTACGGTTGTCTTTTTCCATATGCTATCTTATCTTGTAGGCCTAATTAAAGCTAGGTTTCTACTTTCTATTACTTTGAAGCTATGTCTTCTTTAAATATACATACATCTACATTTTCAAATCATGCTATTAATATGGATTACCAAACTATAATAGTTTACCACCTTTATGTTTATGAATTAATTTTTTATGGATTACCAAACTATAATAGTTTATACATCTACATTTTCAAATCATGCTATTAATAATTGAAAACTTCTGTTGCCAAATAGAGGTTATATCCTCTCTCTTTTTCCTTCTAAGAAGTAATATTGATACTTCATCAGGAGAATATGCAAGAAAGATACATAAACAGCGTGTTTCACAGAACTCTTGCAGTCTAAGGTAGCAGACATATGGATGTCTCTAGAGACAAAAGTTAGCGCATATAAACTTATACCCAAAAACCAAACAGTATAGTTTGTTTCGGGTTATACGCTTTGAAAGATTGGATCAGAAAATAGAATTAATTTCTAAATCGAATAAAGATTTTTAAAAAAAATCGTGTCAATTGATAGTTAGAACTATGATATAAATATATGACATAAGAAGCTCATTTTCAATTTAAAATTGACAATTCATATCATTACTTCATTTTAATAATGATAACACATTGTATAATATTTATACTATTATATCACACATCATTTTTAAATTTATTTCAAACAAGTACAAATGATAAAAATATAAAAACTCGATTGTTAAGATTTGAAACAAAAGATAATGGCAGTTTTTAAAGTTAATTTTGGATCAATAAGTGAAAAAACAACTTTGTGCTTATTCAAATTCTAGTCCAATCTCAAAACACAAAACGACAACATGTTCGTGTGACCGTGTCAATTCTTCAAGACGAGAATCAAAAGAGGCAGTGTCTATGCTAAAGCCAATATGATCTTGAAAACAAAAGAACAACATTATTTTTATTGCTAAGCAAAGTCACTTCTTCAAGACACGTTTGGAGAATATCTTCTTGCAATAAGGGCTCGACTTCAGTATCCCATACTTATGAACTTGCTCCACCAGCTTTGCATGAACACGACCCTGTTTCAAAACCCAACAAACAAAAACAACATGTCAGGTTGTGTTCTTATTAAGCATTTTGCTGTGTAAACCTATCTTTGATTATTGACTACTGACCTTAGTTTTAGAAAGAGCAGTTTGAATAACATAGTTTCCAAAAGGATCCTGCAAGAGATATTCAAAGTTTGGAACAGAGGTAAGCTCGCGGATAATCTCAGCTCGGCTCTCTGGATAATGCTTAAGACATTTCTCCACCACATGACTACTGAATTTCTGAGTTGCTAGCTTGGCGTAGTTCATTCTAAACTGCATAAGTAACTTTCCTGCTGGAACATTTTGCTCTATTATGTACTGCACCACATAGTTCCTGCACCATTCCATCAAAACATAAGGAGGGTCTTTTCACATTGTTAACACGAAATCATATTGAGTGAATATATACCCATAAGGATCCTGAGAAAGTTGAAGTGCGTTTCTAGATATCTCATCGACGAGTCTCTCACGTTGCTCTCCAACAGTGTTTGCAACACAGCATTGAAGCACACAGCAACCGTGGCGATGTGTTGCTATCTCAGCACAGTACTTTGTAGCTACTTCCAACACAAACTGGGACCAAATTTTCATAACATTAGTTTTCCTAACTAAAGAAAAATTAAGAGAATAATAGATAGGTAGCTAAGCCCAAAAACGTGAATATAGAAACTCTGGTTTTGTATTATTTAGACATCTAACAAAAAAAAACAGTGAAATTGTTTCAAACATGTAACCAAAAATGTTGCAGTTTGACTTGGCCATAGTAATGAGACAATACAGTACTGATTAGGCATTTGTAGAACCAAAGAAACACTTCATTAGACATATATTAGTTCATTATTAGACTTAAGTAAGAAGATAAAAGATTGAGATTTAAGGAAACCTTGTTGTCGTTGGGACCAAGAGATGTTAAGCAAGTCTGAATGACATGGAAGCCATTCAAACTTTTGACAAGAGCAAGACAGCAAGGTTCAAGACCTGACTTCACCATCTCAATCTGCCTTTTTGTTTTCACCCTTTCAATCATCTTCTGGACAACCCTTGTCCTGTTTTTCATTCCAAAAACGCCAAAAATCAGAAAATAAAAAAAGCTAGCGGATTTCAATGCTTTTATCCAAAGGTCTCAGCTTTAGTCAAAAATTTGAAATGATCTTCTCTACCAAATGTTGCTTCTCTTATTAGATAGAGATTTGCTTTCAAAAAAATTCCCAAATATAGTAAAATTTCCCTTCTTTCTCAAAACCCAAGAATGATTTTCATGATAAAAAATCCACCACAAAAAAGATGAAACGTCTCGTTTTCTATTTGATAACTCGTTGTTGACTTGTAAATGAAATAAAATAAATGTTACCAAAAATTAGCATATTTAAAACTTAAGCGTACCCATAATTGTTGAGACAGACTTCGAGGAGGTCGACTGGTTTTGAGGTCAACACACTCACAAACAACGTTCTCTGCTCCTCATCACACAAATCAACCATCTTCTGGACCAAGTAATTACCAAACTGATCCATCGAAATCTCGACGACGTGGTGAATAATCTCACGGAATATAAACTTGAAATCATGAAACGTTCCTTCTTCCTCCACCAGTTTCTGCAAAGCTCTGCAACCCATTTGATCTTTAGCCATTAACTTCACAGATCCATAGATGTTGACCATAGACGCGAGATTCCAAGGCAAACTAGTACTCTTCTTTGGACTAGAACCTTCCATGGCGGGTAGATTATTACAGCTCTTTAGAGAGTAATCTTGGACTTCTCTAGTGAATAGGGCTCGAGAAACCCTTTTCCCTTCTTCAAACATGGAACCCTTTTGAAACGCATCTTTCCAAAGAGAGACGCCTCTGGCTCTAAGACTATCCGCAGCATAAGAACCTTCCATGGCGGCTAGAGCTCTATCTCCTTCAAACATCAACGAACGCTTGATGGGTGGATTCATGTGATCCAAGAGAAGATCTCTGTGTTTCTTAAAAGCCATAATCTCTTCAAACACGTTGGTGGGGTTAAAGGTATCTTGAGAGCCAAGCAATCTGAGCCCTAATCCATGGGTAGAAGAAACGTTGCGAGGAGCGAGATTCTGGTCGAACCGATGACGAGGAGCTTCTTTAGAGACAAAATCTTCAGGTTTGCTCCAGATACTCATGTCGCAAGAGATACCCATTTTGTTGAGCTTCTTACACAAATCAAGACCATCCCTGCTCTGATTGTGACACTGATATGGGTTTGTGTCGGGATTATTTGGAAAACCATCAGGAAGACGACGGTCTGAAGCTCTTGTTATGCTGAAATCCAAAGATTTGTTTTCAAACATGTCACAGTGTATGGAACAGAGAAGATGAAGATTTTTAAGATAAGAGAGAGAGAGAGACAAAGTAGTAAGAGCATCCACATCAATGAACCCCCTCTTGGGGTTCATTGAATCAGTTTTTTATTATTAAATTTTTTTTGTTTTCTTTTTGATTTTTTTTAAATAAAAAAAAGAAAAAAAAAAGACCTAGACCAATCCCGGGCTGACACGTGGTGAACCTTAGGAGAGAGGGGTTCATCCGGGTGAACTTTAGGAGAGAGGGATTCATAGATTTTTGTTATTTTATTAATTTATTTTTTTGGTTTCCGTGTGAACCCCCCATTTGAACTCTCAATGGGGGTGCTCTAATGGAAAAAGCAAGAGGAACAATACGGATAGAGAGGTTTCGTAATATAACAGGAAATGGTTAGTGTTTAGGGTTTAAGAGAGAGAAAATTGTGTGCTCTGTGTGTGTATGTGTGTTGTGTACGGAGGGTTTCTCCAGTCCAAGGCTGGACTGTCTCTTTTGTCACATTCGCAATTAATGTGCAGTGCAACAGAGAGAGAGAGAGAGAGAGCCTCTCATCAACACTGCTTTTTCTCATCCTGCGCCAGAAAATCAAAGAATTTGTCATTTTGTCCCTTTTCCTCAATGCATTAATGAACCCTTACTAGACTCAACACTGCTTTTTCTTATCCTGCCCCAGAATATCAATGAATTGCCCATACTGTATCTTTTCTTTTCTTACATTTGTAAGATATATATTTGTAAAATTATAAGTTTGATATCTATATATATGTTGTTTTATACTAACATTAGAAGAAGAAAAAATATGAAAAAATAAAAAAAAAATTGATTCTCTCACTTTAAAATTCAATAATTAGTAACTTTTATTCAAAAGAAAATAATAAATGGTTTTAATCCATTAAAAATTGTAAATAAATTTTTTTAACTATCAAAAAAAGAATAATAATAGATTTGTTTATATTTAATTAATAATTATACCAAATTTTAAAAGGTAAATAATTTTAAATAGAAATTGTGTTTTCTTTGAATATGAAAATACTTTATTTATTTACTAATCTTAAAACGTAAACATCTTGAAATATAAAATGGGTTTTCCAAATTTCATTCAAGATCCGATTTAAAAAATAGTGAAGTTGGCAACAAAAAAAAAAAGTTGGTAAAATTTAAAGAAAATCAATTACGAAAGTATCATCTTTTTCTCTTACAATACGAGAAGGAAGTCGGCGACGAAAGACTCACAATCACTTTGGACACGACAAGAAATAAATACTTGATTTTCTTAGCAATTTGGTATCAGCGGTTTTATCTCTCTCTCTCTCTCTCTCTCTCTCTCTCTTGCAATTCGGTAACGTCTACTAGTTACCTAGTTTTTTTATGATGATTTTTTTTTCTTTTTATAATCATCGAGTTTAACTTTAAATAAAAATATCTTCCAAATAATCCACCATCAAGTGTCCTACTTACATAGGCCACATTCAGATTCGACAACTACTACTATTTTTGCTGACTGTGAGATCATCTGATCGAGTTCATGCAGAGTTTAGTTTCAAAGTATAATAATCATTATTATGAGTTTGTGTTTTAAGGTGGCAAAACCAGAAACTTTGATTTGTAGTTAAAAACTTATACATGTTCCGCAGAAAGAACCTTTGGTTCTTCTCCAAACTCTTCTTTAACCTTGCTTCCAGGATAATATTCAATATCAGCTTTTTCTTCTTCTATTTGCTTTTCATTCTCAGAGCCCAACTTGAATATCTCTTGCATATCAATTCGCTTAGAGTTCATCCTTTTACCAATCATCATCACACACCGACTAAGTTAAACGCTAAAGCTTACACTTTTTGATTCTTTTAGAAGAGAAGTGGAAAAAAAATTATCAATCAAATCCTAACTTACCTCCAAGATTCTGACTGCATTTCTCAGTCCACTAAACCACATTACATTAAGCACAATTTAGATTTGTGACGCTATTTCTCAATATTCAGAAACAATACCTATGTTTTTCTGTTGAAAGTAAGCTTGAAGAAAGCTTGTGGAGCAAGCTATCCTAAAGATATTTGGAATGTGAAAGAATTAGGAAATATACTTGTTTAGGAGTTATCTAAATAAGTTAAACTAATGAGATTAGGAAATTGATATCTCTATATAAAGAGATGCCAATGTGTGGCATAACTAATGGGGTTTTAGAGAGATGAGTTTTCATGATTGTGTGAAAGCCTAAGGTTTTTGAGTGAGTTTTCCTTTAAGAGAATTTGTGAGTTGAGTTCTTGAGTTTTGAGTGATTTTCTCAAGAGATTAATAAGAGAGTTATTTTCATTATTGAGTTTTATACAATTCAAGATTCTATAGTTTCAACCTTTCAATATAGAACGATTTAGATTATTAAGAGGGAAGCAACTAAAATATCAAAGCATATTAATTTCCAAGAGGCCTTTTTTTTTGGGGCCATGTCCACTTTCTAAACCAGACACTTTAGCACTATCGCACATAATAACTTTTGGGCCTACTAAGGCTTAATGCCATGCTTTTTTAAAAAATTATTTGGAAACAAATAAATATCTTTAGGCCAATCGAATATATATAGATATAGATATATCACGAAGCTCATATATTTACAATATTTGAAAATAAAATATCTTGGGAATATGTACTTTCTTTTTCCAACTTCTAATGTTTTTTACGTAAACACTCCACTTGTGGACCAATATGCTCACAAAAAGGAAAAAGCCGACAAAAACTTTTCTTAAGAAAAACTGGCATGACTGGGATGATATTTTTATTTTTGCTTTTCTATTTTAAAACGTCAAAGATAAAAAAAAAAACTAAAAGGATATGTTTTCTCTTTTCTGCTATATCTGAAAATTTAATGGATAGAAAAAAAATACATACTATCCAAAATCAGATATTATTCGACCAGTTGATAAACAAATATCGTTTAATTTTTCTAAATTTAAAAGAAAACGACTAAAAGCAATTATGGCAAATCCAATCCACCAGCTACCAGCTTGTAAACAGTGAAGATATATCCACACAAAAAGCGTTTTTTATCTTTAGTTTGTTAAAGAAGAGATGGCTATAAAAAAGAGCATATGGTGCCACATTCTCCCTACGTGAGTCACGAGCTTTACCAGCCAATCCGTCAAAAACAACACACCAATAAAATATCTTTCTTTTGATTACTTTCAAAAGCAGTCGCTATCATCTTAAAGTCATTTAAAACTCTTCATAGCCCTCATTAGTTGAGTTAACTTCTCATTCAGACACAAACTGGACCCTTGAGAGCTCATAACCATCTTCTTCTTTCTCTCTATCTTTGAGATGGGTTTGTTTGGTACGAAGAAGATCGGCAAGTACGAGATAGGAAGGACAATCGGAGAAGGGAACTTCGCAAAAGTGAAACTAGGTTACAACACGACCAATGGTACCTACGTTGCTGTCAAGATCATAGACAAGGCTCTTGTTATCGAAAAGGGTCTACAGTCTCAAGTCCAGAGAGAGATACGGACCATGAAGCTTCTAAACCATCCCAACATCGTGCAGATACACGAGGTTTTGTGTCTATCTCTCTATGTCTCCTCAAACTCTATAATTTTCTTGTTTTTTGATTCTTGAAAATTTAAACTTCAGGTGATTGGGACCAAGACAAAGATCTGTATTGTTATGGAATATGTTGCAGGTGGTCAGCTTTCAGACAAACTTTGTAGACATAAGATGAAAGAATCAGATGCAAGAAAGCTTTTCCAACAATTGATTGATGCTGTTGATTACTGTCATAACAGAGGAGTTTACCATAGAGACCTTAAGGTTAAGAGAAGAAATGAGCTTTCTAAAAGTCTGCAAACTCTGTTTTTGTAATAAACTTTGTGAATAATTTGATTTTGCTTTTTTTGCAGCCACAAAACTTGCTATTAGATTCAAAGGGTAACCTCAAAGTCTCTGACTTTGGACTAAGTGCAGTTCCTAAAGTAACACTTTCTATTTTCAAACCAAATCATTGCTTGTGAAACAAACAAGTCCTAAATAAGTTTTTATTGTTATTTAATTCAGTCAGGGGATATGCTCTCTACAGCTTGTGGGTCTCCATGCTATATAGCACCTGAGGTAATAACAATAGTTACTTTGCATAATGTTTCAAAATCTCTTGAATCTTGAGAAGCTAATTTTTTGTTAATGAAAAAACAGCTGATTATGAACAAAGGATACTCAGGAGCAGCAGTGGATGTGTGGTCTTGTGGAGTTATTCTATTTGAATTGCTTGCTGGTTATCCACCGTTTGATGATCATACACTTGTGGTTTTGTATAAGAAGATACTCAGAGCAGATTACACATTCCCACCAGCATTCACTGGAGCACAAAAGAAGCTGATCTTTAATATTCTTGACCCAAATCCTCAAAGGGTATACCACAAGAAAGAATCTACAAATATGCATTCATCATTTTCAATCTTACTTTGAGTAATAACATTGGAGAGCATTCGGATGCAGCGTATGAAAGTAGCGGAGATAATCATCCAAGATTCTTGGTTCAAGTTAGGTTATATACCAGCTTATCATCCAGTTTCAGACTCAATCAAGGTAATTTGACTCACTAGATGCCTAAAATGTTAATAGATTTGGATTGTATGTACCACTCATAGATATATAACTTATCTGAATATGATCTTGCAGGAAAATATTGCTGAGATAAATGCATCAACCAAGTCTTCAAATTTCATAAACGCTTTTCAGATAATAGCAATGTCTAGTGATCTAGATTTGTCAGGTCTCTTAGAAGAACAGGTAAAAGACTTATAATTTTTTTGGTCAAGACTTTAAACTCATCTAACAAAATAGAATACTAATAATCCTTGAAAACTTTACTTGATGTTATCTCTCAGGATGATAAGATTTATAAAACCAAAATTGGGTCCAAGAACACAGCACAAGAAACAATCAAGAAGATTGAAGCTGCAGCAACTTATGCTAGTTTATCAGTTGAAAGAATAAAGCATTTCAAGGTAAACTATAGCTTACTAATTATTCTTCTATGGAGATCATCAAGTCTAATTAAATATCTCATATATGCATCTTTTTGTTGTTGTTTTGTTTATTTACCAGGTTAAGATTCAGCCAAAAGAGATAAAATCAAGATCTTCTTTTGACTTATTATCAGCAGAGGTGATTGAGGTGACTCCAACCAATTGTGTAATAGAAATATCAAAATCCGCAGGCGAGTTAAGACTATACATGGAGGTAAACTCAACAAAAGTTACTAAACCCATTCAAGAAAAAAAAAAAAGATACAATACTTTATTAGTCATCTAGTGGTATGAGATTCCTTTTTTCACTTGACAGTTTTGCCAGAGTTTATCCAGCTTACTTACGGCGGAAGTAAGCTAAGGCCATAGATTCTTAAGTTAAATGTCGTGAAAGGCGATAAACATAGGAAGAAATAAAGCTTATATTGCAGATTGAAGTTGCATGACATGAAGAGAGTGGATTAAAAGAGTAATCTATGTCGTGTGATCTCATAGGGTATAAAATAATTGATTTGTTTCTAAGCAAATTGTTAAATAATAAAATCGATTATCAATAAAAATGAAGCTGGCAAAAAAAAAGTTTCAAAATAACAAAAAACGTATTGATCTCCAATACAATTTATAGTTCTCAAACTTCGGCACGAGGTGTGCTCTGTTTTCTCTGTTTTGGCGGCTTACCAAACTCTGCCGACAAGTTCTTCTCACACACATTTCAATGTTGTGTGACCAAACTCTGCCGACAAGTTCTTTGTTTCTTTTCCTTTGCACGTGAAAGTTTAAGATGGGCCTGAACTCTGAGAGCATAAGAAGTAAGAATCATTGATATTCTGAACTATAAGTGAAGTATAAGTTCATAGAAGACGTGGAGAGGAAGCAATTAATCATCAAAGCAGCTTGATTGGCTAGGGATCAACGAATAACTTCATGTTTTTTTTTCTTCATTTCTTTTTTCTTATGTTAAACCAAAACAATAACATCAAAGCTAAGAAGCAAATCAGTGTCAAGCAATTGATACTTCATATGTTACACCCAAAAAGAACTCTCATTGTTTTACGATGTTTACATAATCTAGTCAAATTTTTTTTGAGAATGACCATTATGACATTAGAAACATCAAGAACAACAAAACGATGATCCATACATATTAAATGTCTCGGAAATTTTAATTTCACAGAGACATTTGAAACATAAATATAAGGAAATTAAAGGAAATCAAGTATTAAGAAAAAAAAAAACAAGAAACACCGTTTAAAGTGTTCTTTCTTTTTTTCTTAGTAAGGCTTCTCGCCAACGTAGTTACCCGGAGGGTCGTAGTTACAAGTGATGAAAACTCCTGCACCGTTGTCACAGACCAGACTAGCACACCCGAGCCTTTTGGTGTCACGCCACACCATCTGAGTGTAGTGACCACACATTCCACTTCCGCCACACGAGTTGCTGTTGTAGTCGTATGTGCTGCCTTCAACCACCCATGACTGCACCGCGAATCCTGGCGCCCAGCTCGAGCCGCTTCCCCAGAACAGGTTCTCACCGTATGGGCCTGTTGAATGGGTCAACGAGCAGTCGTAACGCCTTTGGTTCGCCCACCATGTCGCGTAACTGGCTAGCTTACTGTCCCAAACCAGTGGAGGCAAACCTGATAAGAAATGATATTCATTTCACCAAAATCAATAGCAATAACATTATACAAAGTCAATCGGAAATTTTAAAAGCGGCATCTGAACTTGCCAGAGATTAATTATATATCTAGCATGAAACTTCCATTTCTAAAAAACCATACACAATATAAAAGATGAATATATTGGTTAGCATATACTTTCTTCGTTTCAAAAAGAAGAACATTCTAGAATAATATTTGTTTCAAAAAGATATATTTTTTTATATATTTTCAATGTATAATTTAATGAAAAATTGTAGATTTCAAAAAAATTAATTGTGTTTCTTAAAATTCTATTGGTTAAAAAAATAGAGATTTCTTATCTATAATAAATGATACATTGATAATCAAAATTTTATATATTTTTTTAATATGTGTGAAAAAACTAAAACGTTTAACTTTTTGAAACAGAGAGAGTATAAAACTTAAACCTAAATGCAAACCTAAATATTTACCGTACCCAACCATATCGCAGTAGAAAATAAATTCGAACTTGGTCTTTTAGCTAATATGTGGTGAATTGTTACAATCTTACAATGTGTATAACTAATAAATTAAATACCTAGTCTAGACCGCAGAGCGTTATGTGGGTCAAGGAACTGTCTTGCGATTGAGCCAGCTGGTAGACGCGGGATAGTAGGAGGCCGATAAACAGGCTTAGGACTCGGATGTGGGATCCATGGCTTAGGGACGTAGGGGGTAGGGGTAACCGGTGGTCTTGGACGATAATAGTCGGCATGGACTACTTGGAAGGCGACAAAGAGAAGGGAAACTGTGAAGACAATGACTTGGGTTGTCGATGAACTGGTCGCCATCTTTGTGGTCTGACTATGTAAGATGGGGTTTGGGTGGTGTAGAGAAATGACTTTGGTGAGTGATTATTTATAAGTTATGATTTCATGTACATTAAATAACGAATTTAGACCTTTATGGTGATGTCGACTACTTTGTGGCTTCCATGTTCGATTATGGTTACCACTCTTTTATGTTGAGCTTTCGTAAAACGGCTTTTGTGGTTTGTTTTTAATATTACCTTTTGTCTTTTTATGCATGTATATGAACTTCTTGACTAACTAACGTGGATTCTAAGTTATAAAAAGAAGAAAAAAATTATCTGTATTATAAACGAAAAAAATAACTAATCTTAAGTGTGCCATGAAAATGTATGGATTGATATTTTAATTCAATTATTAATATCAAGTGGCGCAAAGAAAATGTGACCGTCCGTGACTTCTTAATCATGGTTATAATTAGCAGTTAACGGATAATAGATTGAAGATGATTGAATACAAAATATAGCCGCCCAAAGAATGTTCCCTAAAGGACTTTTATCTCATGCTTTTATTTAGAAGTTATTATGATTAATTATTTTGTGATTAATTGCTTCCTATGGCTTTTATTAAATACAAAATACGTTTTGGTCAAATGTACAAAAGTATTTTACTTTCCAGTTGAGTATTTCTAAATTAATTGATTTTTTTGTTTACTTTGCTTGCTTGACATGCGACTCATGCCGAATGCCATGTCACTTTCAAAACTAATCGGTTCTTTGCATGGGCCTTTGTAAATGAAAACAGACAGGCCCATTATTTCATGGGTTAATTAGTTTATCCAGTAATCCATCATTAGTTTTTTTCTTCTTTTTGCCATTTTAAAATCTGTAGTAATCCATCATTAGTAACTATAGAAATAATCAAACACGATATGATCATAGTCTCATAGATGTGCCAGAGAAATGATTTTTAAATGCAAGGGTTTTATATATAAGGTGTCACTCCAGAATATAAGAAAGCAAGTAGAATTAACGATTTACATTATTATTATCCACACCTCGTTACATTTGAAAACATATTATGAAAAAAAACATTCACCCTCGAAACATGCTATAAGCTTATGACCGTAATTAATAATACATAAATTCATCAATAATCCATTCCTATAAGCTATACGCACATGTATAAATGCATGATATGACTTATTGCACACTGTGGTAGCTGATCTGAGCGTAATCTTGAAGCATAACCATCCCTTCCGTCGTCTGATCAACAACAGAAGTTGATGCCCAAGAACTCGAAGACGTTGCTTTCCTCTCTTCCTCCGACCACCAACTCGAACCGTTCGTTAGCTCAAACTCGTTGCCCACTTGAAACAACTCTTTAGAACCACCACTGTTCATAAGGTTCATGTTATGATTATCTAACTGAAGATCCTGCGAAAAACCGAAATTAGGTTGAAATCCGTGAGCTAGGGATTGCTCTACGCTCTCTGAAAAGAGAGGAGAGACTCCATTGTTCTGATGAGCAACGTTAACTTCTAGAGGGTGGAAGCTTTCTTGGGATCCAAGCTTGGAGTTTTGATCAGGAGTAGTTGTAGAGCTCTGCAGTAGTGGATGAAGCTTGGGCCACAAGATAGGGTTGTTGTAGAAACTAGAGAAAGGGCTTTGTATATTCTGAAGCTGCATGTGAAGCTGAAGCCTCTCTAGTGCCGAACTACTCAGATTTTGAGGACTCTTGTTGTTGTTGTTGTTGCTGATATTGTTTTCATTCGAATCAGCAATCGAGTCTTGACGATTCATTTGTTTCTGTCTTCCAAGCAGCTTCTTCTTCAGTTTTGTGTTCCAGTAATTCTTGATATCATTGTCTGTTCTTCCAGGAAGCTGAGCTGCAATTATAGACCACCTGCATATATATCAAGTTAATTAAGGTTACAGTTATAATAATCTTTTCTTATTTATAGACCATAAATTAAGTTCATATTTTTTTAAATTAAGTTGAGTTCATATTTCATAGATGTAAATGTATAAAGGTTGTTCCAAAAAACACCAAAACAAGGAGAAAGAGACAATATAAACCCTAAATTTTATGAGATGTACCATAGCTTGAAACATGGGCTTGCATGTGTTTCAGCATAATATTCATAGACAAAAGGTAAAATGACAAGGATATCAATGTTTACTTTTTACAGAAATTACCTCCAATTCTGAACCAAAAAATAGAATATATTATCTAAGATGTGTTGATTAATTTAATTAACTAATTAATCAAGAGATATAGATGAATCACTTACCGGCTTCCAATGCTGATGTAAAGACTCAAGATGATACTATCTTCTTCCTCAGAAAAGCCACCATGTTTGATGTTTGGTCTTAAGTAGTTAAGCCATCTCAGTCTGCAACTCTTACCACATCTCTTCAACCCTATTACACAAAACCTTAAAATCAGGACAACGAGTAGCAAACCTGAAATGGCTGAATCAGTGATTAAGATCCAAGGGGCTGATTCAGTGAATCTTTCATTGATCCAAGTAAGTATAATGATATATAAAAATGTACAAGACAAAATTCAAAGTTATAAGTATTGGATGATAACATGGTGAAAACAAGCAAGATGCAGTTAATTATAGGATTATAAGTATGAATTCTAATGTTGTTATTACCAATTTTCTGAGGCAGTGCGATCCAGTTGCCACCAGTGCCATATTTGTCGATATAGTCCTTAAGCTTCACATCTTCTTCAGGCGACCATGGCCCTTTCTTTACGTTTGCCTTGTCGCAGCATGGAGCTCTTCCCATTTTCTTACAAATCTTTTTTTTCTTGTTCTTGTTGCTCTTCTTCTTTCGAAGTGTTATTATGTTTGATGATGATGAAATGATCTAATGCTAGAAGAGATGGTTTATAAAGACGAGAAAAGGAAGGTGTTGATTGATGATTATTATAACTTAAAAGGTAAATAATAAAAATTTATAGAAAGTCTTCTCCGCGTTCTATTTTTTTTTCCCATGATTCAACTTCAACCCTAATTGTATTATTTTCTGACTAGGGTTTTTGCTTTTTCTGCTTTTTGGATTAGTTTTCTAACCTTTCTTTCTTTAGCTATATTTTTAAAATGTGAAAAGTGGCCTCGGTTTTAATAATCATTAACGCAGAGAAAGAATTGCGTGAAATTGTGTCCAATTGTATAACACTTTATATATTTTAATTAGTTGATCAAATTAGAGGGCACGAAAAAACCATCGCCTTGATTTTGTCGTGACTTGGGTTGAAATGTTCCCCTCAATAGCCAATCATATGTCATCGCTAATTAGTTATTTTTAACTTTTGACGTACTTCTTGAATTTGGATAATTTGCTTAACTTTGTAGATAATGGTTTGAATAAGTGAATTTCTGTTAGAAAAGGTACACAAGCGCTTGACTTTCTTTCTTTGTTTTGATCAAAGCGCTTAACTTTCTTATGACAGAAACTTTTGTGTAAATACATGTGTGGCCTAAATCAGAAACTCAAACAAGCATGTTAAGAGCATCATTATTGCAGGTTTCTCAAGACGAATTTCTTAGGGAAATATAAGAAACTGTTTCTTATATTTCCCTAAAAAACCTGCAATAATGATGTTTTTAGTTTTTAGCTTCTTAGAAAAATATACACACTAAATACCATTTGACGTCAAAAAAAACATTGAATACCATTTCTTGACTAAAGAATTTGAGAAGAATAATAAATTCTTGCCAGTATTAGTACTACCTATCAAACCCCTGCGATAATCTATATATTTGGGATTTTATAATAATTAAATACATCGTGAATTAGAAGCATGACAGTGATAATCATAATTATTAATCCATAGAAAGGCAGAATACGATAATGCATAAGTTTTTTCTTCTTCCAACCATGCAATTCTAGCATTGCACCAGTATAGCGATACAATTACAGAAATTGTTATCCACTCCGTAGTTTTTCGTTCAAATAAACCATTTATTGGTTAATGGTTCTATAACTGAGGGCTCACTTAGAGAAACTGCAGTTTGAAGAAAAGCTTCTAAGATATTAAACGATGATGTAACGATGATGAGTATGAAAATGCGCGTGCCGTAAGGAGAAACGTCGATATCGAGAAGACCAAATATATACGGTTATGACTCCTTGCATAATAAGTTTGACTTCACATCAAAGTAAGCATTTATTTCCATGTCTAGGCCGTTTATTTCTTTCTCAATTTGATTCTAGAAACTCTTGTTCTTTGACTTATAGTTTCTTTTACACATATGCAGAGTATAAGTCAGTAACACATAGGAGTATACTATTCTAATATATATATATATAGTTTATATGGATGATATAATGTAGATGCAATTGGTGTTTTTCAACTTTGAATAGAATCTAATAGGAATACATAAAAATATGCATCTGAAAATGTTCAGTAAGTGGATTTCCATTACCGTCATGTAAGTTTGACATTTATTGTTTTAAACCCTCGTGTATGAATTTTTTTGTTAAGACCATCTTAGGCATCTACAAAAATACTCAATGAAACGCTTTCGAAAGTATTATCAACTAAATCATGCATTAAGTTTCTTATCTAAGCCTTTTAGGTACCATTTTGTTATGTGCTAATATAGTAATTTAACAAATTTTCATTTATCTAGATTATATTTTGCAAATTTAATTTAATGGTCTTACAAATATTATTAGATGTATATCACAAATTACTTTGCATGAATCAAGTCAACAAGGATTAGTTAAAAATCCTAATGACGATACAAGAGTTACGTTCTAAAGTGAGTAAAGTTTATTTTATTAGTAACTAAACTATTTATTTCCTTCGCAATATAATGTTTATTTAGGATTCATTAACGTTACCGATGAAACTGTGGTAATTAAACTGATTGGTCTCATAGACATTTTTTTAATGAAAAGTGAAGAGCCTAAATACAATAATTGAACGGAACAACCAGACAACTTACACTAATTGGCCTTGATTGCTCACAAAGATGTTTCAAAAGTTTAAATCCTACTATTAAATAATATATTGAATCAAAAGATTGCTATTAGTCAGTTAAATAATCAAGTGAGATAAGGAACCACAACTATGCAACAAAATAACAAGAGGAAGCCATCAAATTTTCAAAAGGAGCAACTAATATTATTTATATTTAATATCCCTTCGACATAATAAAAAATTATGTAGTATATTATAATAAAAGATTGAAGACACCAGAAAATCCAGAGTTTAATAAAAGCAACGCAAATGTTTCTTGTTGTCTTTTTTCAGAACCAAAGAATCGATGCATTTGATAAATACCAAGCTTTAAGACAGTATAATCGAGCTGGTTAGTGGTTAAATATATGCATATATACATATAATGATTAGTGTACACATAAAAGTAGACTGTATTCATGTGTCTGATGTTAAATTAGATATATGTGTAACAGGCTTTAAAGTAAATTAATTAATCAATACTGCTCGATATTAGTTTCCCGGCTAATCTTTAGATACCATATCCCTATGCTTTATTTTAATAATCATTGATCAAGGTTCAATTCATTGCTAAGTGCTAATAGCCTAATACTGGAATTAACATTGATTTGAGTTTATCATGTTTGAATAGGACAAATTAGTTTCTTATATATCTCCTGAATTTATTACATTTAGTGGGTTCTTTATATTTCTCGTAATAGAAAGAAAGTAATCATGTATAGCAAATATTTATCTTAGGGAAGAATACATTTAACTATTGGATCCAACTAAATCTCAAAATCAAATGTATTCTTCCCTAAGGCTAATATCAACATATTAGAAGAGTTTATAAAACATAACAACAAATTTATTAGGATTACAACCTTGAGTAAATACGTTCCACTACAATTAACATGACGAGTTGACAAGTTGTATATATCCTAAGCAAATTAAAAGGTAATGGAGTTTCTATATGATTAGAAAAACAAAATATATTTCTCTTGTATAATTTCATTTTTATGAATTGGCCTTTATTTGTCTTCGTAAAATCTCTGTTAATTCCCCCCCCCCCAAGCAAATTCAAGATAACAATTGAGTTTGCCAATTTAATATTATAAAGAATCTTTTCTTTTTCACCAACAAAAAACTAATCCATGAAAAGTGTCACTCCTCATCACGTCACTTGGGTTGACTAAGACAATACCGTACGTAACTTCCCTTGCAATGAGACGGTAAATGATTGTTATCCTTTATATGTATGCATCTTTTAGACATAATATTTCACCTATAATATTTATTTGATGAACTATATACTATTGGTTCATATAATTTTATTTAAAGAAAAATATATAAATATGGTACGTGTGGGTTTGCCATATGAAAAATGGCATTACCGCGTGTTAGGTGTTCTATAAAGACTTAAGAGGTCAAAATTAAACAAAAACATATCGTATGTGTATAATATGTCGTAGAAGACAAGACATTGGTTTCTTAAATGGTGTTATCGTATTTAAATCTTACACTTACCTCATAGTAAATACTAGTACGACTATTTTTAGAATTCAACCATTACTTGTAGTGTACTCATAAAGCTTATTATGTATTAGTCTTAATTATACACAGTTTACTTAACTTGCTTCCGTATTAAATGGTATATATGAATATATCATTCATGCATCACATACTGACTCTTAACAAAACTGACAAATAAAATTCTTTTCTTGGACGGTTCGTCATTTTGATGGTCGATGGATAAGTGATAACATAACATTTATTAAGTCCAAGGTCCAAATGATTAACACAAGATTTTGTTAAATTTTCCTATATTAAAAGTGGTGATTGGTTAAAAGAATTTGTTCTATGAACAAGGAAGAGACGACATCGGAGTTGATAATGTCATGCTTTAATTCTTCTCCTACTTCACTTGCAGAGTATTTTATTGACAAGAAATTAAGAAGATCTTTGGTACATGCAAGGGGCTGACTTTTCTGTTCAAGAGAGAAGAATATATCCTTTGTTTATTAATACAAAATTTTACGATATTTCTTTATTGATTAAGAATCAAACAAATCATTAAGTCAAACCTAATAAGTTACTAACTATTGAGAGAGAGAGAGATATTGAAAGGATAGCAGTCCTGTCAAACTTTGTTGCTATCCCTCAAGTGTGTCTTTGGACCCTTTAATCCATTACCTAACCTCATCTCTATATCAACACTAATTTCTTTGTTTAGTTTGTGGGTTGGGTTTGTTCGAATCTTGGGAACTTTTGTGGTAGACGACCACGTTTTAGGGAGCTTCTCAGACCACATTTTTTTTTTTTAAATTGTGAAACAAGCATTACTATTTTCTAAGAAACGTTTGTGTAACATAAGTAAGCATTACTATTACGGTTTGATCCACAAACAGCGTAGAGCAGAGAGCAACGAACTGAAGAAGCACACACTGACACACACCAAGTTTCTCCAATTCATACATGTTAACAAAGGTGTTACGTCTGGTCTGGTTGGGATCCTCGTCTTGGATTCCACTAGATTAGAGGTTACAAGAGAGTATGACCAAGCTTCATCACCCTTTACAACGCTTAGATCTGAGTTCTCACTCTACCTCTACCAAAGAACATAACAAGTTTATGCTTAGTAATCTTCTCATATTACTGAGTGCTCTATGTTTGAAGGACTAATACTTCATTTATCCCTCTCGATTTTTAAGAACAAAATATTATTAACTTTCTTAACCATTATTACAAAGAAGGAAAGACTAATCTAACATGTAATCGGTCTGCAACTGCAACCACAGGTTTATATACAAACACCCAAAAATAACACCCCCAATAGAAAGAAGAAAACAATATGAACCAGAGACAAGAGCTCAAAGATCATCAAAGTGCAGCAACAAACAAATTGCTTGATCCATAACAAAATCCTCTAAATTCAAGATTTAACTTATATATACCCCATAAAAACGCTAGTATTTGCGTTCCAACCGCAAAACCAAGTGGTAAACTTAAAAATAGGCTTAACTATAATACTTTTTTATAAAAACCCAAGTAAATAGAAGCCCTGCACCATCGCCATCTTCTTTTTTCTTCATCATCATCATCATCTTTATTCTTCTTTTTATTTATTTCTTTTATTTTAAATTCATAGCAGCAGCCATAGTCCTGAGCTTCTGAGATATTTCAGCAAAGGATGGTCTCTCTGTTGGCTCGGATGCCCAACAACTTTCCATTAATCCTTTCCACTCAGGATCACACCACTGTGGGATTTTCGGACGCAATGAATTATTCACTATACCTCCTGTAATAATTATTAAACACCAATCTATATTGTCATGAATCAATCTTTAGTAGTATTAGTATGTTTTAGTTGAGTAAGAAAGTTTTTACCTATTATAGAAGCACAGTGCATATCTGCGTAAGGCTCTTCACCAGTGAGCAATTCCCACATTACAATCCCAAACGAGTAAACATCGATCTGACATAGAGGAATACATGTTTGGTTAGTGTCTGTGCGATTGTATAAGGGAAAAATCTGCAGTCATTGGTTACCTTTTCAGAGACCATGTTGCTTTTGCCACTCAAGAGCTCCGGTGCCATCCATGGCAATGTCCCGCGAACACCTCCTGACACTAAAGTCTTCTGTTTCACCTTCGATAAACCTAAATCACCGATCTGGAAAGAGACATTTATCAGAAATATATATGTGGGAGAGCTTGTTGTTGTTCATTATGTGGGAAAGATCAGATCAATCAGAAACCTAACCTTGCACACAGGACGCTGAGGATCTCTCATGTTCACAAGAAGATTCTCGCACTTCAAATCGAAATGAACTATGTTCTTTCCGTGCAAATACTCCATCCCAAAAGCCGTATCCATGGCTATGATGAGTCTTTTGCGACGATCAATAGTTCTGGATGAGTCAAACCAAATGTGATATCAGATATTTGTCCCCACCATAAAAATAGTATATATTACGTGAATACGTGAATATTCTTACCTGTCTTTCTTCTGCAAGAACTGTTTCAAAGATCCGTTAACCATGAACTCAGCGACAGTTGCTAGTGAACCATCAGGACCATCACGAACTATCCCATAGAAAGACACAACGTTGGGGTGATGCAATGAGCTCAGTAACAGAGCTTCTTTCCAAAAATCTTCTATCTGCAACAACAGAAAAAATGAGTAAGGAGAATAATACTAGAGTTGAGTTTAAAGAAAACTGTTCAAAGTCAATTAAAATTTAAGGAATTCAAATTTACCAAACGTTCCCTTTCAGAAGGTTTGCCTGCAAAGCAGCTGGCTTTTATTCTCTTTATTGCAACATCTGAGCCTTTCCATTTGCCATGGTAAACAGATCCATATGTTCCAGAACCTAGCTCTCGGATCTCCTCCAGATCATCATTTCTTATAGTCTAGACGAACAATGTGATAACACAGTCAAAAAGACTGAAAATGGGAAAATCTGTTTAGTTTTTAAAAACAAAGTAAATTTATACAAACCTGAAGTCCTCTAGATAGAGCTTCAGCCTCCGCCTTTGTTGGCTCAATCTTAAAATTGTTTGGATTGTCGCTATCAGAATCCTCATGTTCGATTTGAGCATTCTGAAAAAAAAAATGTTGTTGCAGAAGGAAAATCAGAAGAAAGGATTACATCGTAAGGCCCTGATAACAGATTAACATATCATGATACTCACCACATGCTCTGATTCGTTTTCCACTAAGTCCGGCCTCACAGGATCGTTGGCTTCTTCTGGATGAGCTTTGACCTCAGCAGCTCCTTCAAGTGCCGCCCTCTTCACAGACTCCATTAACTCCGGCAAGAAACTCAAACGCTCGACTGATAGCTCACCCCCTTCAGGAGAAGCAGCAAAAGGACTAACTTCTACCATATCATTCTTTCCTTCGGCTAAGGGTTGAGGCTTATCTAGGCAGGGAACACCTGAAACACCAGTATCAACATAGTTAACTTGTTCACCTCCCTGAGGAACCTTGCTTTCCACCGGCCTCACCACTTCAAAACAGTCTGGTGTTTGCGTACCGAGGTTTGTCTGTAGCATGGGCCCTGATAAAGGCTTAAGCCCCTGTAGATATTCGCTACGCACAGCCTGGTTCTCAGATGGCACCCAATTTGGGTCTAAAGGGAAGGCTCTATCTTGAAAATGGGGATTTGGGTAATAAGGCTGGCCAGGAGAAGATATCGCATCAAAGCCTGAAATGTTCTGCGGAGAACCGACTAAAACACTTGGATTCTCCACTCCAATAGAATATCTAGGAGCACTGTCTATCGGATTCCTGATAACAGTTTGATTGGCTGTGCCATTGACTTGCTGCATAGGTAAGCCTGGAGTACCAGTTTGCAAGCCTGGAGCACCAGTTATATGGTTCGGAACATTCTGCCAAATATTTTGCTGCGGGTAGATGTGGCTATGACTTGCTGAGTGAATACTTTCGGGTCCTGGAGCATACAGATTATTCCCATAGTGAAACCCACGTTCCTCAGCAGAAGGGTTGGACGGGTTCAAGGGAATGCCACCAAGAGGTTTATCATGAAACCCTTCATTGGAAATTTCAGGTGGTGGTCGGTGGCCAAACGGATAATTCATCCCAGGACCATCAAGAGTGTAATGATCACTTGGTCTTCCAGCATTCCCTTCATCAATACGTAGAGGATTAGGATTAGGAATCACCTGTTGTTGAGCCATCCATCCTCTTTCATGCCCGAAAGTCTCATTTGCATAAGCCCCATGAGGGGTAGGAGGCTTTGGGTCAGCGTTAAGCATGAAAGTCTCCCTATTGGGTGGACACTGTGCACAATGAGCAGAAGGAACCGGTTGAAATCCATTACTCTGCTCAAACGGCTGATGGTTCTTTTGAAACGGTACACGACAGCTCTCACATATATTACCCCCTTCATAGCCACTTGGACCACCATGAAGTACATTCCCAGGAAAACCTCCTTTACTCTCAAGTGGCATAGCTCCAGCAGGGACCCACACCACATTATCAGGAACCTGTCCTCCTTGGTGCTCATACAAAGGATGATGACCTGGTCTCACATAATCCTCAGGCATTCTATCAAACACCTTATCAGGAACCTCCCCATACGGCATCCGGTAACGAGCAGACGAAGGCGAAGACGGAAACTCCTGAAAATGACCATGATGCCGAGGAGAATAGTAAGGACTCCATGTTCCTTCTACTTCACCATACCTCGGCGCAAGCATCTGCCCCGAACCAACACGAGGTATCCTAAGCTGGTGAAGATTACTATACTGCCCCACAGGTATCTCATTCCCCCTCTGACTCCCACTGTCAATAGCCAGCTGATTAAACATCGGTTCCACCGCGGAAAAATCGTCATTCGGATTAAACCTCGGCGAGTCAGGATACTGCTGCACCTTCCTAAAATCCGTCCCTTCAACCAAATTATTGAGAGCATCAACATATCTCCTCTCAGACTCCCTCTGATCATCATAACCCGAAGAACCACCACCACCACCGTCCTGCTCCGGAGAAGGCGAAAACAGAAAGATCCTAAGCCTAGTGAAACCATCCCCTGACCCCAACTTATCATACTCCTCCATCATATTCGTCACGTCATCATCATTCACAACGGAGACCAACGCATCAAGATCCTCATCAGGCTGCTGGTACTTCAAAACCGCCGCGTCCTCGTAGAGCTCCCTCATCTTGCTCATCAGCTCCTCGTAGGTGACGTCCCTCGTCACGCTCACGATCCTCGTCTCTCCGCCTACGTACCTAAGCTTCCCGTCCTGAGGACGTGGCAGTATGCTGCCTAGGAAGCTGCAGAGGAATTTCACTCGGTGAGACTCGTCGTTTAAGCTGGAGCCTGGACTTGTGACGGAGGATGAGTTCACGGAACCGGAATCCATGGCGAATCTGATTATTTCTGGATTATTACTACTGCACATGGAAAAAAAACTCAATCCCTCCGCGGATACTGTAGCTTCTTAGATTTCTCGGTTACAGTTGAATCGATTCTCCATCGAATCCTAAGACATGCAATTACACGAATCAATCTAACGGTAATCATCATCTTCTACAGAGAGAGAGACGAATCAAATTTACCTTCAATCTCGGAGAAGAAAATACGAATCTCGATTCGGAAACGGGATTGAATACGAATAATACGATGATGAATCAAACGATTCGAGCCGCTGATCTATTCTGGTTTTTGATTTGAAGAGAGGAGAAAAATAAAATTATATATAAAAATCGTTTTATTTTCGAGGAAAGTTTTTTTTTTTTTTTTTTTTGGTTCTGGGCTAAAAGAACTAGAAGATGCGATGCTTCTGTAACGCCAGGTAGTGATCCACGTGGCGGTGTCTGGCTATTTTTATTTAATGAGAAAATTGAAATGAGAATATATTTTAAAAAATTTCTCCCACGGTATGGTGGCAATATATCATGATCATGATCAAGTGGGGCATATGCTTCTTCCTAGTCCGCAGATTCCTTGTGCTCACCGCCATTGCGCGTGTTTTTCACCCGCGCATTTATTTTTTTTGAATTATGAAATGGAATCAAACCATTTTAGTTTTGGATCTTTCTCTCCCTTGACCACATCATGTGGTTTCCTTTATATTTTCTTGGTCATTCCATACTTTGGACTGCTGCTGGCTGTTATAAGTTTTGTTTTTCTTTTTCTTTTTTGTCAGCTGTTATAAGTTTTGTTAATGTTCACTGTTTAGGATTTTTTCTTAAAATTTAGAGGATACATTTTAGTGTAGATTTTAATATGACCAAATAATGGTAATCTAGTGCCTAGTGGTGAAACACATGGACATGGAATAAACTCATTTGCCTGGATTCGATTTCAAAAAGTTGATGTTTGCTTGCTATTTTTGGGTTTGGGTTTCGACCAATAAAATTTACATGGTAATTTAGTAACATATGATTTAACTATCCATTACATTAATCAAGAAATATTTCAAAATTGAATCACACAATATGAAATCCGTTCCATTCTATAACATTAAATGTGTTTCTCCCAATATTTGATCGGATCAACCGATAATTCATATAAAAACAATCATATTTTTTTTTGATATAAAAGCCAAAATTCATATATTTAGGCACTTTAAAATTTGAATATAAAAGCAAAAGTTTCATCAGGCTTCATGTCTTATTTATGTTTTTGATTAACTGATTATGTTACATTGCTTTGACGATCGTAGTGACATACTGGCTGACATAAAGGAACGTACGTGGTTATCTGATATGGACCATTATGGTGTTGCATGCTACAAAAAGAAAGTCTCATCCAGCAATTAGAGTTCTTCTTTAACTTGTCACACCCAATTTTCTAATATTGATGCTTCGAATTACGTTGATTAAAGATGCTTACCTTTTTGGCAGTAAGCTTATGGATCTTGGCAGGGCAAATATAATATATATACGCCTTGTTAGCATCAAACTATAGGCGGCATGATCCCGAGGATTGGTCTATCTTTCAGTGACTCATGACACCGAAAGCATTGTGGCGTAAACGTTTCAACACATCATATTGTTGACATTCTTACCCAAAAAAAAAAACATATCAAATTGTTAATTATAAAAAAGAAAAAGTATAAACGTACGTAATCCTCTTTCTCTATTGGATATCCGCATATGTATTTTACACAAAGATAATTTCTAGAACTTGAAATATCATTATACGTTTTAGATGCGAATAATTGTTTTAAACTTCTTTACCAGATGATATATATATATAACACAATGAACACACCTGGATCATACATACGTTTGGGACTTGGTTACATACGTACGTTTGGGACTTGTTTATCTAGTCTTATACTACATGGAAAAGTCATATCTATTATTTTTAAATTTCTTATATGGATCTTCCAAATTACTTTCATCAAAGATGGCTAAGTTTAAGAGACGGGGTCAGCAGGCTCAGCACTATAGATAGTAATGCAAATAATGCGATGTTTGTCTCACCGGCTATAACTATTGACCACAAACCCAAGATAAATCTTTCAAGTGTAGTGTGATGACATTAGTCTATGTATTATAGGGTTATAAGATAGTTTCTTATAAAAGTACTGTGTGTTGAAAATTCTTCAGGATTCAAGAGCATGGAATGAAGCTCAAGAATATAAAAATAAAATAAAATAATCAAGTGCCATAGACTGTGGATCTTTCCCGTCAAATGTTTAATGTTCATTTGCCTCACCCTTCTCATGTTTCAGGTTCAAGTGCCACAGATTATGGATCTCTTTTCATTTCATCCCGCGTGATACTCTTGCAAAATCAGTTTTGCGCTCTCTGATTTACTCTCAATATGTGGTTGAGTAAAGTACCTTCGTGTGCTTACTAATAATCAAGTATGTTTTTGATCAAAAAAGAAGACTTATATGATTTCAATCTAAAATCGTCCTTTAAAACGTATTTCTCCATTTTTGTTTGCATTTTTACAGTAAGAATTACCAAAATTTGAAAACTGTAGTATAAATGTACAAAGTGCATAATGTTTAAATTTCATTTATCCAATGATGAACAGAAATCTACAAATGTGTAAATTAAACTATATATCCATCCTATTAATCTAAGTTATGATCATTCAAGAATGAAGCAAAAAAATTTAAACACAAATTGAAACCTAATTATACAATAATCAGAATAAAATATTTTTCTTTTTGCTTAATTGTAAACCAAGAATCAAAATTTAGTTATTCTTGTTTGAAAACTAGAGTCCCTCTGCTTGTGCTTCCGCCTGTTCCCAAGGACCCTTCAGATGATCTTATGGAATGGTTTGTGGAATCCGATGGAGTGTTTACGGCTTTTAAAGAGGTAATGGTATCAGCTTATGTGGAGAGAGTAGAGAGATTAAACGGCATGGCGAAACAAGCGGGAGAGGTTTTCTGGTGGCCGTTTACTCAGCATAAACTTGTGCCTGAAGAAACTGTGGCGGTTATTGACTCTCGGTGTGGTGAAAACTTTTCAATATACAAGGTTTGTCTGCAAAGATCCTTTAATCTTTTTGACATGTCCTACATTTTTAGCTCATCTTGAACTTGCCAGTTGCCACTTTCATCATTTTCAGGCTTCCGATAAGAATTATATTAATCAACAGTTTGATGCTTGTGCTAGCTGGTGGACACAAGGGCCAGATCCTGCTTTCCAGGTCATCTGTGCGTTATGGAGTCAGTAATCTTAATGCTTATCTTTTGAAGTTTATTTTGAATTTTTGTTTAGGTTGTTTCAGGCTGAGCTTGCTAAAGAAATGGGTTACACTGCTGCTAGGTTCGGGCATGTTATGTTCCCTGGGAATGTATATGAACCTGCTTTGAAATGTGCTGAGCTCTTGTTAGATGGAGTGGGAAAAGGTTCCTAAACTTGTTCTGTCACATTGTTTCTATCTTTCAGGGGGAGGGCTACTTAGTTTTATGCATGCAGGATGGGCTTCTCGAGTATATTTCTCGGATAATGGATCCACAACAATCGAAATTGCCCTGAAGATGGCATTTCGTAAGTTTTGTGTTGATCATGAGACTCTATTGAATTTTTTTGAAGGTAGAGAAGAGAATAAGCATATTGTGGTTAAGGTACAGTCATCTTCCTGATCTCAATGATACTTAGACGCTTTAATGTTGTGTCTGTTAGTGTACATTGTACTTAAAACACTGTGTACTTATTAAAATGTGTGTTCTAATTTAGGTCCTAGCTCTTAGGGGGTCTTGCCATGGGGATACTTTAGGAGCAATGGAAGCACAAGCACCATCACCTTATACAGGCTTCCTCCAGTAGCGGTGGTAGAGAGTTTTTTTCTTTATCGTTGTTCACGATTCCGCCTTTGAAAACAATTCTATAGAATTTGGCTTGCAACATTCATCTTAATTCTTGGATCATATGCATCTCATACACCAATGTGAGAGGCCTCTAACTTGCACAGAAACGGGCACTTATGTGTAACTGCAAAGTAGCCAGCTCATTTTGTTGCTTAGATACAAAATATCAAGATGAATCTTGATTACATCACCTGTGAATATTCACATTAGGTTTGCTAGCATTCTTGATCATGTTCAGCTTTCCCTTTGATTAGGTTTGCATATATCTTTGTAATGTAGGTATGCTGGAAGAGGTCTGTTTCTGGATCCTCCTAACGTTTTCCCCTCCAATGGAGCTTGGAATCTCTCCCTCCCTGAAAGCTTTTCTGAAATAGCTCCAGAAGAACATGGAAGTAAATATCATCCTGTCCTCTCTCTCTCTCTATCTGCTATCCTCCGATACATATATATATATATATTAGCTGTATGATTTAGTATTCCCAAACTTTTACAGCCTTCAGGACTCGTGATGAGATTTTTGACAAGAGTAGAGACACATCAACTCTTGCAACAATCTATTCCACCTACGTATCAGAGCAGTTACAAGAGTGTTCTGGAATTACACAATCCGCCCATGTTGGAGCGCTGATAATATAACCAAGTATGATAGTGTATTCATAACTATGTAGCTTCCTAATATTCAGAAAAGTTTAGCATCTCGCTATCTAGATTGCTAGATTCAAACTACTCTTTTATTGAGGTGGCTGATTTTTTTCTGCAGTAATCCATGGTGCTGGGGGAATGCACATGGTTGATCCTCTCTTCCAACGAGTTTTGATCAAAGAGTGCGGTACAGAAAAATTCCAGTCATTTTCATGTCAACTTGTGTTATATATTTACGTTCTGCTAACAAATATACATAGCATGCTTCGCCAAACTGATGACTGGTGGAATGATTCCTTTGGCTGTCACTCTTGCCACAGATGCTGTGTTCAATTCATTTTCTGTTGATTCAAAGGTAAGAAAAAAAAAGTAGAAGGAGGCTAGCTCATATACATGCATTTTTTTTTTCTTCCATCTAATTCTCTTTTATTGGTGTAGCTTAAAGCTCTGCTTCATGGTCACTCATACTCAGCTCATGCTATGGGATGCGTAACAGCCGCCAAAGCCATCGAATGGTTCAAAGATCCAGGGACTTACCATAACATCATTCCACAAGAAGGAATCTTAAAAGAGGTATTAAGGTAAATATAAACATCTTTTGTGGCAGATAATTAGTAAGCAAACATCTTTAAATGTTTTTGCAGTTGTGGGATGAAGAACTGGTGCAACAAATATCATCTCACTCTGCGGTTCAAAGGGTGGTTGTATTAGGAACCCTCTTCGCTCTAGAACTCCGTAAAAATCTAATGAATCTCTTTAAAAAGCATTGTCTTGAAGAACACAAAACTTTTGGTATCTCATATGATTTGTGTTTTGCTCTG